TTTTTTTTTTTTGGGATGAGTAAATCATTGTATATAAAGAGATAATAAGGTTTGAAAATCAACAATAGCAACAACAACAATCAAAATCAAGGCAGAAGGCTAGAATGAGATAGAAATGAGTGAACCAAGAACCGATGATGAATAGGAAGAGGGAATGAACCAGAACCGAAACCATGGTTGGAGAGAGAGAGAGAAAAAAATAGACCGATGAAAAATAAGAATACCAACAATGACTCTCTCTCTCTCTCTCTAAACATCCCTTATTTGAACCCTAATTCAAGGTTTGCAATTTGGAAACGATGAAGCGCATTAAAGGGAGAGAGAAAGATGGGGAAATAGAGAGAGAAATTATATATATATATATAATATAGTCTTGGGGCAAGGAATTAGATTGCTGACGTGGAAAGAGAAGGAAAGGTATAGAGAGAGAAAATGTATAATTAAAGTCTAATCAATAATATATATAAGGGTAGTTTAATAATTTATTGTAGTAATTGGAGGGTATTTCAGTAATTTTGATAGTTCCGTTAGTGTATTTGACGGTCTATCACACATAATGGAAGTCCGTGTATGATATTTTCAAAAATATGGGAGGTCTGAGTAATTTCCCAAATAGTGGGAAATGGGTAAAGTTTTTTTCTCGAGCTTTGTACATGTTTAATTTTGGCCATAATGATCTATATGGATGAAGTTAGAGCTTATGTTCTTGATGTATTGGATCAATTCAAAACTATATAATTAAGGTGAGTGTTGCATTTATTATTGCAAATAAAATTTTCTTTTTTATGACATGAACCCTTTCATTCATCGATTTTTTAGATTTATGACTGTAAGATAAATCTGTGTATAAGGTGGCCCTATGCCTAGCACATGAAAATTTGCGATTCGGATGTCACAATCACAAGAGTTTTGGCTCAATTCTTATCTTTTTAACTGACTCACTTATTCTTATATAGTTCATTGACTTTTTAAGTGACAGGCCTAGTCTGGATCGACTCGATCAACTCACCCAACCCCAAACGGGTTCGGGTTGACAATTTTAACCCGAAGTTAGGTTAGTGCTAGGTAGGGCCCATCTGACTGGCACCCCTAAGCAATTTTTTTATTTTTCCTCATCCCCGGCCTAAATAATTTGACCATGTTTAAATGAGTATATTTTTGCAAGTTAAACTCGAATCTATCATGATTTTATTTTTATTTGTATTTTCTCAGCAAGAAATACACTTACACATCCACTTGTCCCTTTGAATATTTGAACCATTAACGAAAAAAATACTATTTAACTACAGCCGTCAACCGTTGGTCGAACCTATCTTTATTCAATTCATTAGTTCATTTTCTAAAGTTTGTTTAGGGTTTTATAGTAGATTCTTTTTTCTTTTTCTTTTTTTATCAATATTCATTTTTGGTTTGTAGTCCAGTTTGAATTCAAAGTTATTTTTTATTTTTTTACGTGGCAAGGAGAGTTACTAGTTAGTGGAGTAAACGAGGAAGAAAATTCAAACATAAGATCATAGAGTGTGGACGCTTAAGGCCGACCCTTTATCACTCGGATAAAACCAATACACCTCAAAGTTGTTTTAATGAGTAGAGTTTGAATATATCAAATAACAGACAAACTGCATCTGATAGACTTGACCCAAGCTCAAGTCTAACATAAATATGATTGACTCAAGTTTCTCGGCTCCATTGTATCCCTGCACCATTATATATATATATATATATATATATATATATATAATACATTGCTTGTTATACTTGATTTATTAATTAAAAGAAATTAAGGACAATACTTAGTGTGCTTGTTTTATGTAAGATATATATGGTCATGGAGGTAGATCATATTGGATACATAACACGGGTCCTATTGGGTGTCTATCGTATGTCTTGAACAGTCTGTTAACCAGAGGCAATCAAGTTGATAAGTTCGGATGCGCAAGTACAGTTAATAAGGTGGCCAAATATTTCAACAGTAAATTAAAGGAAGTTGTGGTCCAACTTCGAAAGGATCTTCCACTAGCTGCAGCCACATACATTGACATATATTCTGTAAAATATGAACTTATCAGTCAAGCAAAGAAACACGATACATATTTATGTTTGATCTTCAAATTCAGTATCTTACATATTTATTTCGGAAGGTCGGTATCTTACATATTGATAGTTACATATATAGAGATGGAACCATATATTATGTTCAAGGGGGCACATGTAATAAAGTTTTTTGAGAGGGGCAATTTTAAATTTTCAAATAATCATACATACAAAAATGAATTTTTTTTTTTTTTTTTTGAAGTTAAGGGGGGGAATTTTAAAGAATTATAGAGGGGGCAATTTTAAAATTTAAAAAAATATATACATACAAAAATATAATTTTGATAAATGGCTGTCACTGTACATACACACATATTATAATTTATATATATGTGTTACCTACCTCATGTTATATTTAAAATATGTTTTCTTTTTCTTTGGATTGTTCAAATTATATGTCGGTATGTTGCTGAAATTTGAACATAACGAATATTCTCAGAAAAATGTATTTACTAAGATTTCAATATGCTCAAGGTTCAAAGGAAACTGATTTACATCTCTTGCACACTAAATTTTATTTTAAAATGTTAAATATGAACTTGAAATATATGAATGTTTTGAAACAATGTCCTTCATTTTACAAAATTAAACCAACTTAATGATTCTTAAATCTCTAAACCCTACACCTCACATCGGGTTTCAAAATCCGAAGTGTGACATTTTCTTTTTTCATAAAGGACATTAAATTTGGAGTATGCTAGGTATATATGTGTGTGTATCTATATATCTATATGGTGTGTGATTGTGACATAAAGCATTATTCAGAGACTTACGGGTTGTGTGTGTCCGTATTCGAGTTTCCCTTATCCTTAAATTGGCTCATAAAATTACAGGATTTGAACACCCACTTAGAGCTTCCTGTGGTCATGGGGGAAAATACAACTACAACATCCGTATGGGATGTGGAACAAAGATTACAGTGAATGAAAAACAAGTGTTAGTGGCGAAGTCGTGCAAAGACTTACTTATATATTTAATGTTTTATATTGATTATGATTAAGATTTATGAAAACATTTTCCTTCTATTGTTTAATTTTAAAGGAGTTTATATCAAGCCTTATACAGTGATGTGCCCTTAGGAACATAATAATGACATGTTTACAACTTTATCCTCCCGGACGTAACAATGAAAATATTACAAGCATCCAATTTTAAATTGCCATGTAATATGTATATCCTGTATATAGAGGTTTCTCCTTTTGAACATGAATTTGCTAATATTAAATTTATTTCTATTTTTCTAATTGTGACTATAGGGCAAACAAGTAAATGCTAGGTATATATGTGTGTGTATCTATTTTTCTAATTATGTTGCCACTCTGATCATTCATGAATCATGAATTATACGAAACATATGGGCCATAAATTCTTCTGAAATAAACTATGAAAAAAGTGGGAAAAAAACCCATCAATGGCCTTTTCTTGGATCAGACACTGATACTTGCTTCAATGTTCATCAATGGAAGTTTCTTAGTCATCTTTCTATTAACTCCTACTCTAATATCTCCCTTCTCCATTAGCCCATAAAACATATGCAACTTCTCATCCATGGCATCATGAAACTTCCACTACCTTTAATTTGTGCATAACACCAATTAAGTAGGAGAGGGATTTCTGTACATAGACCAATTTAGAGGGAGACACAGCTTTCTGTTCGGAGAGACGAAGAAGAAAGAGGATTTTAGAGAGAGATGGTGATTGCCTCGAGATATATATATATTATTCCTAACCGTGTTTATTTGGGTGAGATGTCTTTGTGTCGAATCCCTAGATATATCCCTAGATATATTGATCCCACGGCTTAAGCCTTTAAAAGGAGAAGCTCGTGAGTGTTGTTGCAACAGCGCTCCTGCAATAGCATTACTCATTATACTATAAGTGCATAGGAATTGGGGCAACCCAGTGACCTAATTGGTATAAGTGCATAGGAATTCGGACTAATTTGGTCTTTTCATTGGGTGAAAAATTACTGTTTTATTCCACATCAAAAAACTATAATTTCTATTACAATGAAAAGACCAAATTAACCACTTTTATAAAATGAACCTTGGGATTTTCTGTTTTACTCCCGCCACTGTCGCCACCACAATCACCATCGTTCTCCATTCTCTCCATTCACTCTCTTTTCCACCCAACACCGCCATTGCCACCGCAATCTCCCTTTCTCCACCTCACCCAACCAACAGTCAGTGTTGGCGAATCGGACAAATCCCCTTCCTTGTCTCTGCACCAAGGGTGCACAACGGAGAAAATCAAAACTAACTAACTGCTTGAAGGTTTCACAGCATCTAAAATCAAGAAGATTTCACAAAGTATTCCACCATACTCCTAGAGATTTCATGTGAAATCTGGACCAAACAGCATTGCTAGATTAACATGACGAGATGCACTTATACATTGCATGCTGTACCAAACAGCATTGCTAGATTAACAAGAAACCCTTCAAACTTTGTCACATTTGTAGAAGTTAGCCATCCCTTCCCTATTGATCCCCATGTTAGTAGATAGTATAGCGTTTAGTAAGCACACGTCCTATCCTATCCTAGGAGAACCAAGACCAGAGGGGTGCATCGCTCGCTCACCGATCGGAGAAACAGAAAGAAGGTATTTTTACGAATTCAACGTCAAGATGCACTTTTACACTGACAAAATGCAATGTTACTATAAGATGATACAATCTAAAAGAGATTTTAACAGTAATGCATACATAATAGACTCCTATTCAGCCTACAACAGTATCTAAACAAATTTTGTGTTTCTCCTCTTAAAAGATACTGTTCTTTCGCGAGCATCCAACCTATAATTATACCAATAAAATTAAGACGAAATCCAACAAAGCTATTAACCAGGGCCTATATTCTGAGGTGAATCATAAACACATTAACAAGTAAACAAAAAGCAACATGTAACCGAAAGTTTCAAACAGGAGACTATTTCATTGCATCAACAGAAAAGTTTTGATAGAAGATTAAACATAGTCATATAGATCCAAAACTTGGTCCTAACCAACAAAATTACACATCAAAAACCAAACATAAACCGGCCACATTTTTTTAAATCTAAACCAACCAACACACAACTCAACCAGTAAATTACCGGTGTATACCAAAACCATCATTAATCTCCCTTTCTCCTAAAAGAGCATCCCTCGGTAAGTCTGGCACGCCCACCAGTTGGTTGGCACAACACCGTCTGGCAGTTCCCACATACCACAACTGTTTGGGAGTGACTGAACACAGTGGTTCTGCAATCATATATACATTTCACACAGTTCAAGATTTTTGTGACCCCATGTAGGTAGCAACACTCCTAATTAAATTTATATACTCGAATAAAAAATAACTCATACAAGGATCATAATAATTAATAAAAAAAATATTAAAAAAAAACCTAAAATGAACAACTTACATGTTGAAGCAACCCTGGCACTTCACATCCTACAACAAAATCAGAAATTGTTTTTCAAAACCATATATAATATACTTATAAAATAAAAAATATATATATATAAAAAAACCCACATATAATATACAAACAATAAAAGGACTGAAGATAGAGATTGTACAGATTAATACACGCGCGTATATTGGTTCGTATATTGCTAACCATAGGATCAAACAACTTTTAAGGTTTGGAGAAAAGGAGATCAAGCAAAATAGAGGCCGCTTGTAAATTAAATAAATAAAATACCTGAAAACAATAGACTGCAACACCTTTCTCATCTCTCTAAAGACTATATTGAAACCCTTCTCTCTCTAAAATCAATCTTTGCGTAAATTTGTACTTGGTCGATTTCTCTATTTGATAAAAATAGAGGGGTGTATTATATATATATATATAGAAAGAGATACACATGAATATACATACCATGAAGAAGGAGTTGGGCGACTGCACGAGACGCTTGAGCTTGTGCTTCTTCTTCTCGAGCTCAGTAGGCGGATTGAGCAAATCAATATCGTTTGGAAGAACCTAAGAATTTATAATATACATAAAGTTCCCAAACAAAATGAATTGACACGCGATTCAGATTAAAACAACTATCTACAAATATACAGATATATATATACTGATGAACATACCATCTTCGCTAGTTAGAGAAGCTTTGTAGAACAGCAAACCCTAGAGAGAGACGACTGTGCAAGAAGGCGCAAGATAGCGAGATCGTGAGTGTCAGTGGCTATGCGATGATTACATATGGGTATCTGATGTAATATAGGCCGTTGGATATCCCAGATATGATCTTATCATTTCGTTCAACCTTATTGAGGTGTTTAGGGCAACAGAGAAATGGGTAAATTAAATGGGTCAAATCCTATCCAATATCCGATATATGGATCCGGCTCCTCTCCTACGGACACGTCTAAATGAGCACCAAACCGAGGGTCAGTGAAACGCCACGTTGACAACTTACTTGGACAACATTTTTTTAATTTTTATTTTATTAACCGACCTCCTTTTGGACTACGAGCTTATTGCTTTAACTGGTTAAGGCGTAAGTTTTTTTTTTTTCCTCTAAATTGCACTAAATTTTTTTTATTATATTTTTTTTACTAGTATCTACCATCCAACAAAGATTACGATAAGTGGGCAAAATGCAGTGTCGGTGGAGCCAGAAATTTTTAATTGGGGTCCAATTATTAATGTAAAATTCAAATTTTAAATAATATAAAGTCGTTGTAATATTTTTTTTTTACATATATTGTTTTTTTAACAATATATTTATGTATGTGTGTAAATATAGTATATTTTTATAAGAATTACTAGGAATAATTTCTTTTTCTTCACTTGAACCACGAACCTCTTTTTTAGAATTAAGAGGCTGATACCACTAAACCACTGACCCGTGATGAAATAATTTCTTTACTAAATTTGATTCTTTTGTAGCAAGAGGGTGATTGAACTCTCAAGGGTTACAAGGAATTTTATTTGTAAACCATATTAAAAATAAATAAATAATAATAATAATTTCATTTGTACAAATTTTGGAAAGTGTCTACAAAATATAAGGAACAAAAAATGCAGACAAATATTAGTTTCATCAATTTGATGAAAATGGTACAATTTTTCGTATTTGATTCATTTACACCAAGAAAAATCTTACTCTAATTATTTCTCCTGGAAATGTCCAAGGCTGTAGAGAGCAGGATGTTAAACCGATTATAGGAAAATTTTCAAGTTTTATAAATTGAAAAAGATTTGAACAGATTTTCAATAGCGGATTGATGAAGCTTGATTTGGAATGGTATCTTGAAGGATTTCAAATAAGAATGGTGCGGTGTACCTTTTTATTATTGTTATTATCTTTTTGTCTTCAAAAATTTTAATGTTATGTTTGTCAGCACATAATTAGTGTCTTAAGTATCGATTCAGTGCTCTCCCAAACATAACATAAGTATTAGATGGGCCAGAGATTTGACAGAAACAACTTCGTTTTTAATAAAATTGAATGGGATCCGATGATGATTATGGAAAAAACAACGTTCTTTAATGAATTCAGTAGTATTTTGTCGGAGGAAACCACTAATGCATCGCCCACTGGTAGTGGTAGTCCTCAAACTAATAGTTGGATTAGTCCTGCTCTTGGTAGATATAAATTGAATACAGATGCTTCCTTTCATAAGCTAACTTGTTATAGTGGGGGTGGTTTGATACTCCGTAATTATCGTGGAGAAGCTGTCAAGGTGGCTACAGTGTTTTATCAAGATGTGAGCAGCGCAGAGATTGCAGAGGCTCTAGTACTCAGGGATGGTCTAAAACTTCTTGGTCAGTGGGGGTATTCAAATGTGGATGTTGAGTGTGATTGTCAATCGGTGGTTAACCTTACCCTAAAGACCTTTTTATGTTCAGTCATTATTCAAGATATCCAGTGTTTGATTCATCAAAATTTGGAGTTTAAGTTGGCTTGGTGCCCACAATTATGCAACAGAGCGACACATGAGATGGGTAAATGGACTCTTAGTCAAAGGCTAGGTGAATTGCAGCAGCAAGTGTGGCCTTCGTGACTTTTGAATGTATTTCAAAAGGATCTTTCATCCTAGTATTCATAATATTTGATTACGTTTAAAAAAATAAAAATAAAAAATTTGACAGAATGTAATATTTTAGCTTCCATTTGCCCGTGCACATTTTGATCGAAAATAAACATTATTTTTTCTTTCAACAACTCTTTGGTAATGTTCGATTGTATAGAATTAGAGTTTTGGAATTGAGATTTATAAATTTGGAAAAAGAAAAAAAAAATCAACTAAGAAAATTGAACCAAATTTTTCTCAAATTCCACTAATTTCAATTCCAAAGCTCTAATTCAATGCATCGGAACACACCGTGTGTATTTGGCCTTTTCGGGTTTAGAGATTTGAACCCACTTTTAAGTTCAAATCTTGATCACCAAGTGAAATAAATCAGCATTGTCCAGCTGATAAGATATGTAACATAATAATCATTGAAAAAAAATTGATGAAAAATTACTTAGATTTCATTAAAGTAGTTCACTAGAGCTGTCTACATTTCCAAGACCAGGATCTAGGTAGTGGCGGTCACTCTACATTAACCCACCCTCGTACATTACCCTCCATAAACTTAAAGCTTATAGATTAAAATATGGATTACAAAAAAATTATATACAGAACAACTTTGATTTACATACAAAGAAAGATCAGACCACAAGTTGGGAACTTAGGAGTCAAGTGGTTCAGATTTCACAGGTGCACCTGATGAGGCACAACAACTTCCATTTTGAAGGTAGAGACTGTTTGCCACAAGAGTATCACTAACCAATCCAACATCAGCGTTGTCAAAGTTGAGAGCGCCTCTCACCTTTCGGGTCCTGAGGATGACAGTGAACGAGGGCATTATATTGATATTGAATCAGATAGATTTCATGTGTAAATAGATTTCGGGTATCAACCACATACCCATTCAATCGATTATTGATTGCAGTAAGGTCTTTTGAAGGGCTCTGATAAGCATGAGTACTCTCTCCAACACAAGCATAGTAGCTTTTAGAGCTATGCGAAACTAAAGCATCCATCTGTAAACATAATTAATTGATCAACTTCGGGAAAACAGAACCAATCAATCAGTCCAATTGCAAATGTCTACAAAATTCAAACCCTACATAAACCAATATATTCCTAGTTCATGTCATCTTGTGTTTTTTTATTCATGCAATGAGATCAAGCGATTGATCTTATTACCAATCACCACCTACTGCAGAGTTTTGTTGGTTATATATATCACGAAAAATACCAAATAAGAATGTGGACCAAATGTTTCCCATGTATATTATGGCAAAAGTGAGACGCCTACTGAAATTAACTTGGTTACTCTCAAAAGAATATTCAAACTGATTTCCTATGAGTTGCAAAATTCAAACATCTTAAATTCCTAAAATAAAGCAACCGGGCAATGAACGGCAGACAACCAAACTGGATTCCATTCTCAAGCAATGCATAACTAAAAGAAGAAATGTGCACGTAAGCATATACTCAGACCAAATTGACCACTAAGTGCGCCAATTAAGAATAATAACATGATCAATATTTAGGGTAATTCTAGGGAAAGGGGAAGATCAAAATTAATATGGGTGTAGTAAAGAAAGAAATGATAACATGTGATTTAACTGGGGCCATGACCTTAATTATAGTAGAATGAAAGAATAGGATTCATGTAACTAACCCCAAGTAGTTTGGAAAGTGCTTTGTTGAGTTGAGTCGAGTAGATGCTTGGGCCAGTTTCTAGCTTTGCATCATTCATTTTAAATATTTTTTGTCTTTAAATTTCTGCTCAAAAACTTCTGGTTTTATGCACAAATTTTCTTCCACCATCAAGCACTCAAACAATCACATCCTGAACAATCACACCATGCTCCTTCCAGAAATTTACTATGGAGTAAATTCCACTAAAGGAGTTACCTAAGGGTAGAAATTCATTAGATTGGAAGAAATTCCATCTTAACAATAGAAAAGGTATTGGATTACACCACAGGATAGGAGGCCTAGGTTAGCCATTAACATGATAGAAGAAAATTAATCTTCTGAAAAGTTTTGGCTACCAAAAGAAAACTTGGAATCTTGTATGTGTTTGGATATTAGGACTACTGGTTTTCAATTCCAAATGTCATTTGCATGACCAAGTTGTCCTTGCTGGGGAAAAAACACACACACACTACTAAAGCCTAAAAAGTGAGAGGGTGCAAGGAAAAAACCTAGTTGGATTCCTAGATAGATAGACTTAGAGGGGGTGAGAGTAGGTCATATTTGCTCTTTTACGTTATGCTGATTTTATGTGAACTACAATGACAAAAAGCACACATGGAATAAAGTGTCTCAAAGAAGAAAAGAAAAAGGGGAGTACAACTTCACTTTGCATGTTTAATGCCTTATCTTTACAAGGTCGGTACCAAGTCCGTAATAAGGAGGTTGTGTTAGGTAACTTGACAGCCAACATAAATTTTTTACCAAGACCAACATGTACATGAATCCTAAGCATAACATTGCACATGGGCCACAGTTTTAGGGCAAAGATTTCTCCACGTGTATTAACTTGAGACGAGTTGAACATGAACATAACATAATAAATAATTGCTAGGGATCTTCTTCTAGAAGGTCAATGAAGTCATGGGTAAACGAAAAGTTTTAGAGATGTTGATCTCAAAGGATCACACAAGACAAAGAAGCAAATACCTTCGATGACCGCAGTGGAGAAACATACACATTATGTGCCGCAGATACTTTTTTTGGAGACATGTCAGGAAGACTTGGAAATGGAGATATCTTAGGTGATCCTGGACAATGACCTAATCGACCAAGAAAGATTAATGAAGTGTCAGTAATGGCTTATGGGAAGAGTCGTAGAAGAGATGAAAACAAAAAGAAAAAAGTTAGAATTACAGATAAATAAAAACAATAAGGTGACATACCATCAGGACTATTGTTAGCTTCCGGAACCCGGTGAGTTTTTTGAGCTGTTCCAGCAGGGGCAATCTCCACCAGTAGTGGCTTTACAGCAGGAATAAATATTTCGTTGTAAAACGTAATAATATCAACATGCTCCTGCCCAATTTTCTGTTTCCAAAACCATTTGAAGGATTAGAGTCACTAAGTAACCAAGGACCAAAAGAGATGAGGTTCAGGAACATACCCCATGACGGCGTGCTGATGACCAATCGACAAACACACTACGAAAAACCTGAGGTTTACATTGTGGTTGCTTCCTGTAGTTGTAAATGATTCCTCTAAAGGTCAACTTTAGTTGAGATATCTGCAGGCCGATACATGAAAAAAGAAGGAATTAAAGATAATGACCAACCAGGAGCCGTAAGTCCTCAAATGTTTCTAGCAGCAAACCTTTGCAACTCCATAAAAACAGCAGAGTATTATCTGATCAATATGACGGTTAAAAAACAGAGCCGTTCTTTGACTAAGGATTTGTTGAAAAAGACAGTACACACTCTCCCTTATTTGCTGAGAAAGCTCCAGCCTCTCAACCATACCATTGATTCTGACAGCGGCTAGCTTTACAATCTGGGTAGGACGGAGTTTGCAATATTAGAGTTTGAAAGTGGGACAAAATAACACAATAGAAATTGTAAACAAAGCTAAATCCCTTCATTGGATATGATAAGATAAAAACAGAAAGTGAGTCCACATTAGCAAACTAGCCATCATAACTAATTGTTGTGACAAGAGGCTAGTTACATAACCAATACCCATTGAGTTACTCATAAAGCCAGTGCAATAAACAAAGGCCTACTTAAGCAGTATATGGCATATCTACATTTGAGATGCAACCTAAATCCTCCATGTCAAGAGCTAAGAAAATACTATAATAGTTTACATCTGTTTCTCTCCCTAGAACATTTGTCATCCAACCATCCATGGAAAATGCATGTAGGAAGGCTCAAATAACGCAATCAAATCAAATATCTTACTATATAAAAGTGCCATATGCCCTAACAAATCCTTCCCCCATGTCCAGGGGAAAACCAAAAAAGAAAAAAAAGGGAAATTAACAAGGGAAAAGAAAAAAGAAAAAAAAAATATTCTAATAAATAAATAAAGAAGAGACAATGCATCTTAACTCCTAGGCGTGCACACATTACCTTTATCTGAAAAATTCTTCAAGATTAATGTATTAAATCAACAGCGCAAGTTACCATCAGAACAATTGAAATGAAAGGTAATACCTTGCTAAAGAATATATTGACAGCAGTTTCTGCACATGTTTCCCCTCCACCTCCTGGATTTGGCCTTGTTGGACTGCCAAAACACGCGCGCGCGCACATACATTTGCAAAATTTTAAAATAGAAGACAAGGAAACTGGTACCATGCTGCAAATAAACTAGATTAGCAACTTCCTACCCATTAAAGTTATTATGAACGGTACCTGGCAAATGCAGACTGCAAAGCAGGGGGTGGTAGTTTTGATTTGAGGTTACTGAAGGCCAGAGGCCGATCCTTCACTGGCGATGTAAACGAATTTCGCTCGACCAATACACTTCGATGTTCGTTACACAATCTCTTCGGTGAGAGAATACCTCCATTCTGACCTGGTAAATATCAATTCAATGGACATCTCAATAAAAATCCGGCTAATTTATCCAAAAGAAACAATGCAACTCATGAAACCTACATTTTATTGTATCATGATCAATGATTCATTAAGGATAGAAGTTCTTCATGCTTCTCTAAAATGATGCACGTGCAATTGAGTGACGGACATAAATTATTAGAACCTCCATTTAAAGGTTATTTAAATTATTACCTGGTGAAGTTTCATGCTTCTGTAAAGATGCTACAAGAGGCAAGCCTCCACAAGAAATGTTTAAATGCATGGAAATTGCATCCAAAGATGGCATTGGTTCTGCCAACAACCCAAGACGGTTTATTTCTGCAGAAAGGGCCGGCCTTGCTACTGTCAAAGAATTGTACATTGAGGAGCCTCTTTCCCACACCATGCTCTCCAAAAGTCTCTCTTCCAGCGAGTTCAGATGTCGCCTCAATTCTCTTGGAAGAGAATCCTCGTGCCTAATGAAACTCTCTATCACCTTGCTAAGATCAAAAGCTGTAATTCCAGTTCTCTCCAACACAGCAGGAAACAACATTGTTACCGTCTTGTGTGTGGCAAGGACTAATTCAGCTGAACAAGCAAGCATGCATCTATGGAACCTCTCGTTGGTCAATATAGAGGTCAAATTGCTTGCATGCAAGATTTGGGCCTCTGCTGTACACATTGCTTGCAAAACCCTATAATATAATTTAAGTGCTTCCAATCTTCGTTGTTCAGCCCATATGTTGTCCATCAGGTTTGTACATTGCAGGCTTCCAGTAACGCCACGCTCTCCCAGACCACTGCTAGGAAAGATCGCCCCCAATATTATGTGACCCCTGCGTACCACATCAGAAGTAACATCCCTGTCACATAATGACAGGAATCGCTCCAGCTCTGCTGAGGGTTTTGATGGAAGTGGAGAAATGACTGTTCGTAGCCACTTTGCAGTTGTCATTGCTGTGCTTACAGGAGTAGCTGCCATCTTTGAGTTTCTACCACAAAGCACGCCATTTGCATGAGAAATGGATGGAGAGCGGTAGGGGGAGAGTGGACTTGTGATTGTCTTTGCTGGGGATGCTATTGAGTCAACCTTCCGCTACACAAAACATAAACAGCCACTTAGAATTTGAACCAAATCAATATGTAAGTTTAGCAGTGGATCCATCATTGAAACATACCTTGGCACCACTGATATTCATGGCCCCTCCAGACAAACTCCCTGAACCAAGCAAGCTATCCTCCTCAATAATAAACAACCTCTCATCTAGGTCACCCTTATTACGTATCACATCAGCATAATCCTTTTCTAGAATATCTAAACTGGAAGACAAAGATGGTTCCTTCATTAGATCTTCAAAGTAGATCAAATCACCTGCATTGAAGTGAATAAGAATTCCTGTAAGGAAACGTGATAATTGATCTAATTACAAAATCCAGAAACTTAAATGGAAGAACTTTTCAAAAACCTGTATCAATATTTTCTAGGTTTTCAGTCCGACATTCTGATGCCAAAAGTGGTTTTTTCTTCAGAATATCTGCTATTAAATTATTGGCCTTTTCTATTGTTTTCCTCAACTCATCCTCTGAGGTCTCATAAACGTTGCAAAGTGATGCAGGAAGATCCACACCTTTGCTGCCTTTCTTAACTGCAAAGGAGTCAGCATTTAGAACATTAAGAAAATCCCCTATTTCACTCCACCTCACCCCAGAAAAAACTATCAAACAACAATGAAGAATATAATTACCAAATTGTGTAGAGTCATTAATGGAAAATTTCCTTAAGTGAACAGGTACATGAATAATCAAGATAGCCTGTCAAAAAATTCATTAAGCATTAGTGAAACAGAGTTACATTTTTCATCACAACTTGGTCTCCTGGAAGCGGGACATAAAAGATATGAAATATTGAGATAAAAATCCAAATGATGAAATTGCTGAATGGATAATATATGTAATCATTCTTTTCATTTTCACTATTAATTTTCTTATCCTACACTTTTAAGAAAGACACTTTCTCCTATTTATTTTATTGATATTGTATTGAGTATTGATGGTATTCTGCCTAAATAGTAGACACAGTTAATAATTTTGTTATTTATCAAGGAAAAACACAAAAATATACCAAACAACAACACTAGTATAAAAAAGATAAGAGAGTTGAGTCATGTAAGGTAACTGACCAATACAGCAACCAGACCATTAGTGCAAGTTACAAGGTCCTTAAAACGACTAAATACATGGGTACGGAGTGCCAAAAACAGCAACCAACCAAACCGATGGTATTCTGAGATGCAGCCTGTGGTATTCGCAACAGCTGACTGCTTATCCATATTGGCATCTTTTGTCAAGAAAAACTCCTGGTATGCACGTTTGTAGTACCTTGTGTCATGAAATTAATACGACTTAATGTTATTAATGTATAAAAGCTTCAAACAATTAGAAAAGAAAATTTGTATTAGACTAAATACAGAAAAATCCTTTCCAAATGCGGAGGTAAGGCTGCATACATCAAACCCTCCTCAGACACCTCAGTGGTGGGAGCGTAATGCCCTGGGCTAGCCCCCTTCTTTTAGCCCTAAAGTCAGCTTTTAAATACAATGCAACACATCTTATTAGGCATAAAATGAAAGTTTAATGTAAAAAACCATTTTAAATAATACAATAATCACAGTCTATACTACATGTTGAATCCATCTAAAAGAGACTATTACAGAGATCCCCATGCTTATTTAGGCAAATGTAATTAAATAATCAAACTACATAGGAAGGACCAATCAATCAGTAGTGATTATTTCAGATGAATTTTTCAAGGTTTCTCTAGTACATGTAATTGCACAAAAAATATGGGTCCCTCGCATTGTGCAATGCATACTGAAGAATGATGATGTATTATAGTGAACATTGATTGTTCTCCTCTCAATACTTTGCATCTGTTTCTGGAAAAGGTTCATTGTGTCATTATTTCATAACCAATGGCAAACGTCTGCTGGTTTATTAAAGTGACCATGCTATTGTATCATCAGATTTCTCTTCCATCCAACAAAGATTTGTGGTGATCATATAAAGGAGTGACAAAAATATTGCATGTCGTCATATAAAAGAAATGGGTTCAACTCAAAATAATTGTTAAAGGCTCTTTTGAGAAGAATTAAATTAATAAAAATGATATCCTTCAAATATTATTTGGCACATACTCAGCTTTGACAGGGTGACTTTGCCCTTTGGTTTAAGCCACAACATATAAAGTCATTAAGTTAAACCTATTCATGATTTTTCATGATGGGGGGTTTGCACTTTAATACTAAATGAAAACACAAGCCATCTCCAAGTCAACTCCAAAGTCCAACCCAATCTGTCTAGCGATAGTACTGGTCTCATTAGATAAGACCCCATCAAAATACTACAGAAATCCTTCTGAGCACACCAAGTACAAATTCCCCATGGCACATCCACCAATGGGGTTGTGGAGTTGGACTACGGAAAATTAGACCCCCACAAAAGCTATTCAGCCATTATTTTATTCCACTTTTGCTATTTGTTCTTTTTAACTTAATTATTAATCTGAAGGGGGAAGTAAGGTATTAAGTCGATGCCTGCAACAATTTACTTCCATAAGCCAATTTTTGGGGAAAAAAAAAAAAAGGAAGGAAATTATTATTAGAGAAATAATTAATTAGACTTTACTCGGCTCAACAAAACCTTTATTGACTATTTAGGGCCAACTAATGAATTCTGCCGTCTTAAACAATAGCTTCCAATAAACAATCCTAGACAATTATTTCTCAGTCTCATGGCCTTCCACTTGATCTTTTAGTGCCTTGAATCAAGCCACTTTCCAGCACCAGTACATTCATTGATCTCCTTGCACATAACCAAACTATCTCTCTCTCATCTTACCTTCAATTGATGCCAGCTTTTTGCAAGTGCATTCATTTATTATCTTTCTTGTTTCCATGTGGGCCATGTGGCTACCTAAACATATTACAACTACGCTCATTCTTGGAACAGATTGACTTGTAACTGCCGCACATTCTATAACATGAAGCATGATTGTCTTAACTGTTGTCTTATGACAGGGTTGAAGTGTCATGAAGATTCTTAGGCATTTTTGCAATGCCATGCTAGTTTTGTAAGCTTGTAAAATCCATCAGCCATGCAATGTTACATCCGAGTTTCAAAACAGATACAACTCCATGAAATTTAACTACTCAAGGACAATTTCAGTGAATCAAGAAAATCACAAGTTCAAGACTACACTACACCACAATCACTTACTAAAACACTATGACAAATGTTAAAAGTAAACATTATTAAATAAAACAATAACTCAAAATCTGAGAGTCAAACTACAAAATAGCTTTTGCGTGTCTAAAATAATGGATAAAGATTTGTGTCCAACAAACCACGCCGAAAGTTTTGTTGTAAATATCAGCATTAGTATAATACCATTCTTTACTTCCTTATTTGATGGGAAAATGCACAATTGTGATTTCGAAACTAATATATGGCACTACGTCACTAAAATTTCACAATATATCATAATAAATCTATTCAATAACAAGATTAATAATCCATCACCTCTAGGGCTGAAAACGAATCAAATTGCTCACAAGCTCGAGCTGAGTTCAAGCTCTTTTTTCAAGCTCGTATAATAAATGAGCTAAAGCCTGAACAATACTGAGCTCGGCTCATTAAACTCGTGAACAAGCTCATTTAGTTAAAGACTCATTATATTTCAAATTCTTATATTTAAAAGGCTAGCCATATGATGCAAGTTTAGCCTAAATGCACATACCATTCATAAGGCCAATTAGTTCTTTTATCTCTAAAAGCCCAACCTACAGTAAAGTCCATTAACTCAATAGCCCATTAACCCAATTCATACATGAGTCATGACTTCATCTCAGCCATTGGATTGCTTATAACAAGTAAAGATAAGATAGAAAACCTTAACAAGAGCACAGCCAGCACAACTACCCTTCCCTGTGCTGGCAACCCCTCATCAACAACAATTGTCGGACACTACCCCCGCGACGTCAAAGGTTAGTCATATATTTATGAGCTCGAGCCGATTTCTGTCTTTGAAAATGGTATATTTTAGACGATTCATTGGATATATATGAGCTCAAGACTGAGTTGTCAAAAAACTGCCGAGCCAGAACACCTTCTTAACCTTGGCAAGCCGTGTTCAAACAATCTAAACTCAGCCTGGCTCCACTCCACTCAATTGCAGCCTTAATCAACTCCCCAAAATTACAACACCACAACCAAAAATAAGCAATGCCACTCCCATGAACAGCACTCTTCCATTTTATCACTGCCACTACATTCGGCAACATTACATATTGCCAAGAATGCTAGGTTAATAAAGATCCTTTGGCAATGCCTTCACTAGCATAAGCCACGACACCATAACCCACGTCTTTATGCATATAAGTCAAAACATAGTAAAGAAAAGCAAAATTGGTGAAAACATCATATAAGCCACATCATAATAAAGAAAAGCAAAAATGTGCAAAAATGAGTCTAATGGCAGAACTTTTACAATGTGAATTAACCAACTCATATTAAGTGCTGAAAACATCAATAAGACATGAGAATAAAAATATATATTATAAAAAAACCCACTTGCTTAAAAGGCTCAAGTGCACAAAATTGGCCTGCAACTCCTTCGCCTGACGGAGAAAAAGAACATAGAACCATGAGTTGAAGCTCAAAAAAAAAAAAAAAACCTCGAGTACAAATTCAAACACACATGAGGGAAACCCTCTTTAAACCTAAGCTTAACTCTCCTTGGTATCATACCTCAAGTCTCTTCTCCCAATCTGTGCCATACAGGTTACTTAAAATTGGACCAACCTTGACAATGAATTGAGGAAATTCTTTGAAGAAGTCCACGATGCTTCGACAAGGAAATAAAATTTACTCAGAACTACAATAGCAATTCTATCATAGTCTAATAACCACTAGGAAAATTAGAGTAGCATACTTCAACTTCGCAACTCGCAATATCTGGCATAAAGTAAAGCCATTTTCATTGGTCTCGTGACGGGTATTATCTGAATTCCTCTCAATTAATCTATTCACAGAGCACAAAATGAACGCAAACCAATATCGCTCTGCTTCTTCCGGCTGATAGAGAAATGCAATTCAGTTATTTTACATAGAAATCGCCACCCTAATTTTCTCAAAACCAAATACAAAAACAATTTACAGAAAAATGAAAACTAAATCGACCAAAAACAAGGGTGTACCGTCCCACTTCCAAAAGCTGATATAGTTGCCAACAGAAGGTGTTTACTTTCATTGAACAATTTGATGGCTTGCGCGGAGGTGTTTTCATCTAATGATAACCCATTCTGTGATCAGGTCATCACAAGGTCCACAATAAGTCAAAAAGAACATTCCTCGAAGAAAAGACATTTGAAAATCAACCCACAAAATATTGCTCGTCATAAAAAATTAAAAAAAAAAAAAAAAAAAAAACTTTCAATATATATATACCTGACAAAAATCTGTGAAACGAGCTTCGATAGAAGCCCCATTGTCAGAATGCGAATTACTGGTAGGAGTTAAAGGCTTCACGTCTTCCATAGTGAAAGCAGCTGGACTATAGCTGAACCCTAAACAATCTCGCAAACCCTGATCTGTTTATAGTACCGATCATTACTCAATCAAAGCAAGAGAAAGGAAATAAAAACACCAAAGCTAAACATGAAATTATGTACAAAAGAACAAAAAAAAACTCACCAATTGAGTAGAAGAACCAAGTCAGATCTCTCAAATATCCTTAATTCTAACTGATCCACAAATCTACAAAACAAACCCTAGCTTTTCCCCAAAGAACGTAAGAGTAAAACGAACTCTAGCTTCCTCAGATCGATTTGAAATGCATCAGCAACAAAAAGTACAGATACAAAACCCTATTCTCTTCTCTGTCTACATTTATATAATATATATATATATATATACACACACGTGTTACTTTTTTCCAGACTCACTCCGTGTAGTCGCGCGGGAAAATCAAGATGACGTGGCCGGCGTTATTATCATAATGCAGGGTTTGCAAACCAGAGGTCGCCACGTCATGTGAGGTTTATTTGCCGCCAAATTTCCCGGGTTCTACCGTTACGCCTGAGGAAAACAAGTCGGGTGCCTTTTACTGGACCCGGGGAGGGAAGACCGGGTGTGCTTTTTGTTAGGACTATCTTGCCGATTGAGAAAAAAAAAAAAAAAAAAAAAATCTATTTTTTTAACCTAATCTAAATACATTAATTATTTATATTTTTATAATATTAGTACAATTTAAATATGCAAGATTTATTCGCCTTGAAACTCTGAAAATATTTCTCAATAATCATAAAAAATAAAAATATTTTTTTTATATTTTTATAAAAACAGACATTTTAATAATTAAGTTTTTAAAAAATATATATTATTTTTAGTTCTCTGATAATAGAAAATTATTTTCGGAATTATAAACTAAGCAGAAATTTTTATTTTTATTTATTCATAACTTATGTTACAACTTACACTAGTTGAAAATAAAGTTGAATTTTTTAAAAATGTGATGAAGTTATTTATACACTATACTCTTTACGAGTTTTAACTATTCTAAAAATTTGGTACTCTTTGAAAACCAAAAGTTGCCCAAAGTTGTCGGTCTAAAGTCGTCTTGAAGTTTCGCAAAGTTGGTGACTTGTCAGAGCAACATTAAAAGAAATTATGTTTAAGGTATTCAAATGTTTTCATCAATCATTTCATGTAACCACAGACTTTTCTTTATCCATGGTATTACAGCTAGGATTAAAATAAATTATAAATTTTGAGATCCCAGTTCACATTTTCACAAATAGAAAGTCTTTTAAGTTTCATTCGTGTGTGATATATATATATATATATATATAATTGATTCTCACACGCCTTTTTCTTCTAAAGCTTGTTGAGAAATTAGGGCCAAATTTCTACTCACTTGAATCAATCCATTTGGATTTATGTTCTTCTATTTAACAAATTTCTATTCGTGCACGGAAAAAGCAATATTGTATTTTTTTTGCATTCTTTTACTAGCATTCTCTTCCAATTTTATGTGTATACGGTTTTTCCCATTTCATTATTAATTTTTTTATTAATTTGATTATATTTTTTTCTAATTAAGTTGCCAATTACAATATATTATATGTTTACTTACGTCGGAATTGATCATTCTAAACATATATTGGTTAAAAAAAAAAAAAAAAAAATTGTAATCAATTCAAGGTTGAAATATATGTCAGCTTATTTATATGCTTCTAATTGTATTATTTTGCCAACTATAGTATTTTAATAATGTCGAATCTCACAAAATCTGGATTTGTTACACTTTATATTTCAGGCGAAAACTAATTGTTGTAAATCCTTAATGCTAAGCTCCATCTAAAAATCATGAGGTTTGAAGATACAATTCAAGAAAGAAATCAAGCCCATGAAAGTAATAATTTTCTTTCACCATCAATTTCTTCAAGAATTTTAAATTGCTCATCACACAACAAAGGCCTGCTTACAATTTAATTTTTTTTGAACAAATTATACCGCCATCAAAAGACCGCAATTCTTACAAAGGCTTTTTATGGCTGGGTAGACTTACGAATATAAAATTTTAAAATCGTAAGTGAATATAATTCAGCTTTATTCAAATTGAGATAACAATTAAAGTTATATAGAGATAAAATTATTGACTAGGATATGTAAGAAGAAAAAAAAAAAAAACAACCAAAAAAAAATCACATTTCATGTCTTGAATGTGCCCTTCAAACACCAAATCTCGAGAGTATTAATATACATAAAATTCTGAGATAATATCTGAATATTAATGCTTTCAGGCCTAAATATTTTATATATAACCCATCAAAATTAGTTGGTCAAACAAATTAGTTTAAGTAATCGGTCCAAAAATCATTTTACTTTTAGTCATCTTCTCCTCTTATATTTAATCCTCGATTTTCTTGTCTATACAAGGATGCACTGACATCTCGAAGGAAAGGTTACATCAGAACCAATCTTCATCACCTCCTTCGATACCAAACAAAATTATGTACTTTCAGACCTAAATGCAAAGGAAAAAGCAAATAAGAAAAAGAAAGTGGTACTTCCATAGCTTTTCTTTGGCAACTTTCTACAATGTGATCACATTTTTCGGTGCATCAAAAGCTTGTGAGTGGATGTTAGATGGACAGAGTTTGTTGTGTGTAGCGTGTACTGTTTGTCTATTTGGATGTTACTTAACACTATAGACTAAAGAGTCCCATATTTAATATATATATATATATATATATATTGGATAAAAAGTAAAAATTCCAGATTGGTAATTATTAAGTGTTGGATTGGTATTATTTTCTGAAAAAGACTTTAAATATTACTCAAGTAATCTCATGATAAAACTAAAAAAATTACGTAGTATATATGGAGGTGATATGCCAAAAAAAAAAAAAAAAAAAAAACTAGTATAAGGGAGTGGTAACTATGATATAAATAAATAAATCGAAGACACGCAATTTTTCGTAGTAGATGTCGTTCTCATGTTTTGAAATGGGCTATCACTCTCGCTCAAGTTTTTACTATTTGTGATTTAATTTTACAGTTTTCGCCTTTACTGTCACGCTCTTTCTCGCTTAAGTTCTAAATATTTGTGATTTAATTATATTGTTTTATAGTTTTCGCTCTCAAATTTGTTCTCACCTCACATTTGCTTTTGTTTCATGTGACATAGTTAATATTAATGATGATATATATTTAAAAAAAAAAAAAAATACCCAAGTTAATAGTTGATGAGAATTTTGCATTTAAAAAAAAAAAATTATACATGAGGTTATATACTCCTATATAACAAGAAAGAAGAAACTCAACCCAATGTCCTAACAAGTTAATACTTGTTCTGCGACTGAAGTCAGCGACTGACTGATAATGTTGACTGGCTCTCGTATTTCGCAGCATCTGAGAGAGTGTAACAACCATCAACATCTAGGGTTAGGGTTAGGGTTGGGGTTGGGTTTGGGGTTTTACCACAGCCGAACAGTGAGGCCTTCCTCTGTAGCTGTTTCTTCTGATAAGAGATTGAACAATACTTCTTCTTCCTCAGGCATTGATTTTGGATTCCCCCTCGTTGGTTGCCTTCAGGCCAGATCTCCCCGCTCCGAAATTCCCGTTCTCTCCGATTGTTTCAGGTTCTAATCTTCTGTGCAATTGAAACTTTGGTTCGAGTTTGAATGTGTTTTCTTGTATCATGTTCAATTGGAAGCAATGAATTCCTTTTTTTTTTTGGAAATTTAGTTGCATTATGTTGTTCTCCAACATTTTTCCGGCAACCAAACATGGGTTTGTTCTGTGTTTTGAATCTCAAACATGGGTTATATATGTGCTTTTTAACTATTACTCAGTCAACACACATATATATGTTGGTTATACATTTATTGTAGCATGTGCTTTTTGGTTATTGAGAAGGGCAGCTAGAAATACAATTCATAAAAATGTCGAAATGGTTATTTCAAGATTCCCATCTCTCTCTCTCCATATATAGGTCTAATATCTATTTATGTATTCAGCAGCTAAATGCAATTCATAAAAATATTCACACCCAAAACATATCGCCAAGTCCTTTTCAAGATTGTTTAAAACTCAACTATAAATGGAGTAAATCGGGATTAGGAGATTAAAGTTTCCTGAAACGTTTTTCTAGTAATGATTGCATAAGGTGACCGACAAAGTTTGTATCAAGCATATGTTTAAAGTGAATAGAGAATATTAAATTCTACATGAAGATAGACAACCTCTGCTCCACAATTGATATTGCATTTTGTATGATAATGAGCTTAAATGAAGTATCTTAATACTTATTGAAATTTTTGAAAACATGTGCTGAGATAATTATTTTAGGTACAACTTTTTATAAAGGAGGTACATTGCCATACATTGCCAAATGAGTGGAAAAAAAGTACAGTAGTACAAATTTACCAAAATAAAGGGGATATACAAAATTGTGGCTCCAATAGAGGAATTAAATTAATTAGTCTTACAATGAAAATATGGAAGGAGTCCACGGTATCAGATAACCAATTTGGATTCATGCCTGGGAGATCAACAATAGAAGCTACATACTTAGACAATTAGTTGAAGAGTGTAGGAGTAAGCCAAAAGATCTACATATGGTTTTTATAGACTTAAAAAAAGCGTATGATAGGGTACCAAGAGATATAATTTGGTGGGCTCTACAAAGAAAACATGCTCCCTTGCAAATAAGAAAGAGTTTCCCACACATGTATATGAACAAAAAAATTAAAGATCGCACTATGTGTGGTGAAACTAATGAGCTCTCTATAGATTTAGGATTGCACCACGGATCGGTGTTAAGTCCATTCTTATTTGCAATAATTTTAGATGAAATAACAAAAGAACTCCAAGAAGACATTCCATGGTACATGATGTTTGCCGATGATATCGTGTTATTAGATACTTCTAAAGAAAACTTAGCGATAAAATTAGAATGTGGAGAAATGCTTTAGAATCAAAAGGATTGAGAATTAGTTGAAATGAAACGAAATATATGGATTGTAAAATTAATAAAGACACGATACTTGATAATATAATGATAACACTTGATAACCAAAATATTACTCAAAATAACCAACTTCATTATTTAGGATCCATAATACATAAGGATGGAGAGAATGAGAGATAGATAGTGATATAACTAGTAGGATTTGATTGGGGTGGACAAAATGGAGATAAACTACTGGCATCTTATGTGATAAAAGAATAACCCATAGGTTAAAAGGAAAATTATATAAGACCGTTATTAGACCGACTATGCTCTATGGAGCAGAGTGTTGGGCTTTAAAAAGAGACAAGAACAACGTAGCAGAAATGAGAATGCTAAGATGGATGGTTGGAGTAACTAGAAGAGATAGGGTCACAAATGAAAGTGTAAGAGAAAAATTAGCTGTAACACCCATCAATGAGAAAATAAGAGAGCAGACTTAGATGTTTTGGGCACATGTGTCAGAGACCTTTAGATGTGCCGGTAAGAAGAGGAAGTTCAATTTCCCTAAAAGGTAAAGGACGGAGAGGGCGACCTAAAATAACTAGGGATGAAGTTATTAGAAATGACTTTAAAAAGTTAAACATAGTGGGTGATATGGCGGGTAATAGAAAGGAATGGAGGTAGAGAATTCATGAGGCCAAATATGGGAATGAGGCAAGGATGAGGATGATCTTTGAAGCAATTCCATCTGATTAAAGTTGTAGTGTTATATATGCTGATGAGCTTATAACAAATGTGGCAATTTATTTGACAGTTTAGAATATGTTGTCACTTGATTTCATTCGGCAAAATATATCTTTCATTTCGGCATATGCTATTCCAAGAAGATCTTTATTTTGCTGAATGAAATCAAGATGAGCATTTAATATATACAGAATGATAAATTGTATGCACATGAGAGTTGAGCAATCGTTGATCCTCAGGCATGCATTTCACTAAAACAACAACAGAGAAATTTTCAATTTCCAGGATGACATGACGATGAAAATATCCAAATAGGATACAACATAATATGTTGGAAGATAAGAAAAATTGCATATGCATCACAGCTCGTTAATCAATACTGAACAAAATATAGTCATTAATTCCCATGCTTATATATGTAATTGATTTCTTTTCTTTGTTTGAAGCCAACGTGAAGATGATCATGAGCCTACATCTGAAGAAGTGTCCTCTGTAGCAGGTTTCTTTTTATCCATTTCCCTGTGTTTTTTCTCTTATTTGCGTAATTCAGATATATATGTCAATTTTCCCGGTAATGTGCTTACCGTTTGAAAGTGAATTCTTTTATTATAAGATTAATGCCTCATTTTTTTTTTATTTACTTTACTTTATTTTAGTTTAGTTTAGTTTTCATGAATGTGGTTATTTCTTTGTTTTTCCCTCAACTGAAACTGCGAAGAGATACAACGAAGAATATGAAGCTCTTCAGTGTATTGTTTGCTTGAAAACCTTCTGGTTGCCAGGCTAAATACTAAGTCATACTTATTTTTTGTTGAGTCTTTAGTAGTATTATCACTATTATATTTCCTCCCTGTAATTCAGTGAGGTTATGGTTCTCACATATATGATCCACAGGTAGGGTTCAATACCTGTGGATGACAGTGCTTCAAGTTGTTGAATTGCTTTGTCAATTGTGTATTAAGTTTTCACTTAGGCCAGAATAGTGTGGTCATGTGACTTGAACCCTATATGTATATTTAACCTAAAAAGAATTATGATCATGTCATATTTTGTTTTGATAAGTTTGATCGTGTCATATTTGGAAAAGAAATTAGAAAAGAACTGCAACCAAAATAAAAACCTTGCATGGCATGTCGTTTGAATCTTCAGGAGGGCTGTAAGCCCGCATCACTTGCAATCTTTAATGTTCTTTCTGCAGTAATGCTTCTATTCCTTTGGTTGAGCATTATATATAGAATTACTTTGGATACATGTATGTTCATATTGACCTGTTGTCACTTTACTTTCTGTGTTACATCTGTAAATACAGTTTATATTTTTTCTGTAATTTTTGACTGCTAAAAGTGCTTTTCAAGGGACTGTTGAAAAATGTATACTTTAGCAACAACCATGATATTGAATATAATTCTCTCTCTCTCTCTCCCCTCCCCCTTTTCTGTCCAATGGCTAGCCTACACAATGGGGGCAGTTGCCCCCTGCACTTTCTCTTTCCCAAAATCGAGCGAAGGGAGGATTACAATTATTTGGAGAATTTACCAGCAGGCTAGCTTTGATCTTTAAAGACAATTAAATCTTATTATCACTCTATATCTTGCTTTATGCACATAAAATTATTGTTTATTTTTTTACTTGAGCCCCTTTAGGTTATCATGTTATTGCGTATAACTCTCTCATTCTCTCTTCCCTTCCCTTCCTCTAGTATTTCAATCACATTGCCGAACAAATTTGTTTTATTTTTTATAAGTAACCCACCAATTAGATTGATAGACTTTTGTGAATCCTAATAGACAGGCGATAAGGAGTGGGGTGCCTTCCTTTTCTGTAAGATACAAATTAATTGCACACCAAATTTTGAATTATGAGCAGTCTTGTTTCTCTCTTTCAGTTTCTTCTGTCTGCCAGTCTTGAAACCTTGACCTGTGGATTGGAAGTTAAGGATCCAAAGCTACCAGGTCCACCAGGACAATGGTAGATCAGTTTCTCTCTTTCATTTCTTGTAACAGATATAGTTCTTATGCTAAGGGAGGCCAATATCTTTTTTGTAATGTCTGAAACAACTTTCTTTATCTGTATATACCACATTTTACATCTTTGGCCTTTGTGTGCATCAGTGTATGGGTTTTACCTATGCAATTTTAGTTTATTCTATTTTATATCTGTTTGAGCTCTTAACAAATTCTTTACTTTTTCAATGCACGCTTTTATTTGATATTTCAACATGTATATGCCATGGCATATGTCATTCTTTTTGTGCCTATTCCTTGACAAATTTCCCCTAAATTCCAGATTCTCTTATTGCCTATTTATTTAGTTTGTGTCGAAGTTTTGTGTTATGTAATGGCATGCTTATGTACTATTTTATATTGGAAAAGGAAAGATGCTTATTGCCTTTTGTTATACATTGTAATGAATGTCAAATAATTGTATGCATGTCGGTCTTATATGGTGTCTTTTTTGCACAAGTCATTCATGAAGTGTTAGGATGTGTTGCACTTGGTTTGCTATCAACTATCAATTACCTAGGGAATAAGGAACCACAAGTTTGGATTTATCTCTTATGGATTTTAATTATTACTTGTTTAGTGTGTTTAAGAACTCATTTGGACCAGGTATTAAAAGATTTGATACCAATGATTTCTTTGTAGTCTTAGGTTTGTAATTCATGGTTTTTTGGTTGTGACTTCACTAGGAGGGGTAGTTGCATTGGGGAAGTTTGATGCCCTTCATATTGGTCACAGGGAACTTGCGATCCAAGCTGCAAAGGTCGGAGTTCCATTTCTTTTGTCCTTTGTGGGAATGGCAGAAGTTCTTGGTTGGGAGCCTAGGTATGGTTATTATTACACTTTCTTTCTCTCTTTCTCTCTCTTTGTTGGGATATAAAGTTTGACAAGAAACCCAATAGGAGCATACAATGTAAGGAGGAAATTTCCACACCATGTGAAAATAGCGAGGTAAACAAAACATGGAGAAAGGGACACACACTAAAACCAAGGAGACATATAATCTCCTGAAAAGATTTATGAAGTTGTAACTCCGACGGGGAAATTGCCTCCTTGTTAGCCAGGCTTGGGATTTAATGATACTTCCTCCTTCCCATAGTAAATGTTACCCTTTGGAACTCCCAATTTTTTAATGGGACATGCATTTAATGCATTGTTCTCTTAAAAACTACAAAACTAACCTAACAAAATTTACACATTTACTTTATTAAATTGAAAAGATTTTCAAAACTGACAATTTGGGAAATTTGAGATTTGAAACATCTCATAAAGGAAAGTGGACACTTATTTTGGGACATCTCAAAAAGAAAACCAAGACACTTATTGTGAGACAGAGGGAGTTCTTTTACATAACATTACCGTAATGCAATTATGTGGAATTCATTTCACTGTAACAGTTCAGCACTCAGAGTGTACTGGTACAAAACTCTCTGGAATTGTATTCGTGCAACTCAATATATTGTACTGGTGCAGATCGCCAAATGTACTGGCACAAACATTTCTGTGTTGGGAAAAAAAAAAAATCCTTTGAAAATAGTGCTGGCACCAAAAGTTGTATGTTCTCCTACCTATCGGTTTTGTGGACATGCTTCATTGATTTTCTCACATCATCATACCTTGAGTGTGACATAAATTCATCAATTACTAAATTAGGTGATTTGCATGGATCCTAATTCCTGGAAACTGAAAAGGAGAATAACATATGTGGATTACTGCTGCAAACTTTAATTCGAACCAAGTAAAGAATCATTTATTAAATTTTAACATTTGTTGTAAGCTTCCGTTGTGCAACCTACCACAAGATGAAAGTTTGTAAAAGCTTTGCTATTAGCAACTATACAGGTGATTTTTATAGATTTTGAGACTCTATTCCAATTTCAGGACTCTCTTTGAAAGCTTAGAGGCTTTTGCTGGCCTTTTGTATTTCTCTTGGGTTTCGCTCCCCTTATGAGCGCTTTCTATACAATTTTACTTATCAAAAAAAAAAAAAAAAGGGTTAATTTCACTCACCCCTCTCAGGTTTGGCCAAATATCACCCTCAAACATCTTTCGAAAATAATTATCACTTAGGTTCATTTCTAACTTTCCATTAAATATTCTGTTAAATACATGGGAAAAGACAATTTTACCCCTAATTTCTTAATCTCTTTTATTCCAAAATATTAGATTACCTAAATGACCATTATACCCACACCCACCTACCAACCCAGACGTGGACTTTACGAAGCAGTGGGTATCATCGAATGCAGCATTGCTTGGGCAGGGTCTGTCCCTAAGGGGAATGAATTCAGAAAGAATGGAATGACAGAGGCATATGTTGAGTCAAACTCTATATAATATAACTTCCGTATCAAGATCTCCTGGGAAGATATGGATTGATTGGGTCTTTTTTCTAAAACATAAATACCAAAACCATCTATATATATTGTTCCTGTTATATATATAGATGGGTGAATTTAATTACCTTCTCAATGATCCGATATATTCTTCTCTTGAGCGACCCTCCATTTCTTGCAGTTCCTTTTTATACGTTGATAACCATATATAAAAGCATGTAAATTAATTAGTTCCATCATTAATTGATGATCACCAAATCAAATCATACATTATCTTAGACTCTGGCCACTAGATCTGCCCATGGGGAGCAGCCAATGATAGAGGCTTTATACCCCCTTCGTTGTACTCTCTCTTTCAAACACAAAAAAAGGAAATAGCATATATAGTAGATCGACTAAGGTTTCATATATTTCGAGAGCATCAAAAAAAAAAAAAAAAAAGTGAAAGAACCACCAACGACCGATCCCGCAGCCTTAGGCGGTCGATCATCCGACCGCCAAGTCATTAAGGAAGAGTCGCCTCATCAATCTTTTGGTCGAGCTATACATGTCTCTGTGTGTAATGTGTGTGTGTATATATATATATATATATGTCTGTGTGTATATATCTGTCTCTGTATGTATATTTATATATATATAATTTGTAAATTTACAACTTTCTAGGAGTATTTTAATCTTTTAATCTAATTATTTAAACTAAAGGGTTGGTTTGACAAATTCAAAGGGCGATTAAGTTATTTTACATCGTGTCAGAACTGTTCAACTAACGGTTGGGGTGTTAGTGAAAAACGGAGCAAAAGTTTGTGATGCGAGTGATAGTTATTTTCGAAAGATGTTTGAGGGTGATATTTGGCCAAACCTGAGGGGGTGTCAGTGAAATTAACCCAAAAAAAAAAAAAAAAAAATTTCAGGACTCTCCCTTGCTCGTAGAACAACTGAGATTTCAAGTGGGATGTTTTCGGAACTACATGTAGTTCAGGTTTCGTTGAATGGGTTTGACTGTAGGTTTTCTCCCCATAATGCAATATCCATTGCTATGCATTGTACTAAATCTTCAAGTTCACTGCCTTTAAGTTGGAGAATTTTAGTAATCAAAGCTGTAGTTGTTGTTTATGACGTATACAAGTTCTTTTTCCCAGTAGATACATACAAGGTATGTTTATGACAATCTTAATGCGACTTTTCCTGAACAGGGCTCCCATAGTTGCCAAATGTGACCGCAAGCGTGTTCTCTCCTCTTGGGCTCCATACTGTGGTAATGTAACCCCCACAGAGTTCCAGATAGAATTTTCAAAAGTTCGACAGCTTTCTCCACGTCAATTTGTTGAGAAGTTATCAAGGGAGCTTGGAATACGTGGTGTTGTTGCAGGTACACTATTGGAGGGATTCAAATGCCTTTTTTCACGTGTTCCTTATTTCATTAACAAATTCATTTGATGATAAGGTTCTGCAATGGTTATTTTGGTAGGACAAAACTACCGGTTTGGATACAAAGCATCCGGTGATGCATCAGCGTTGGTGAGGCTTTGTGAGGAGCATGGTATGGGGGCATATATAATAAATTCTGTGATGGACAAGAAGCAAGTCTCCAAAAATATAGTACCGGATAATACAAAGGAGCAAGGTCAAGTCTCATCTACTCGTGTTCGTCACGCCCTTGCTGAGGGAGATATGAAATATGTCTCGGAGCTTTTGGGCCGCCAACATCGTCTCATGTTGACTACAAATGACAGGGAAAGGTTTAGAATCGACAAAGGTAGGGTTTCGGCTCCGAAGTCCTGTTCGTTAAACCTTCCACCTAGGGAGGGCCGGTATACGAACTGTTCTCTTTTGTTTAGTGAGGAGAATGTAGTACCATGCAGGGTAAGCATTGATACCACACACATTCATTTGGAATTGGAAGAGAGAGCTACTTGTGTTGATGTTACTTGTCAAGAGTTTAGGTCCTTGGGCATTGACTTTGGTGAATCAAGAGTTTGATGGTATTTAATTTATGAAATTCATTTAATTCTGTGTTCAGGAAATGGCTCTCACGGGTTATATATAAGTTATAACATATAAGTTCCATTGATGTCATAGTTCGTTGCAGGAGCAAGGGTGATTTGTATCTGTTATTTGAATTATATAATTTTGACAAATGCATTCCTCATAGGCATTGCTGAAATTAGAGAAGAGTAATAATAATGTTCACACTGAAGACTAGACTAGTAGTGAAATGTCTAACCGAGTTACTTTGATTGGTTACACGTAACTGGAGGGACTCATTTATTTATTTATAAAATAGATGATAAATTAAAATCAGTGAATTACTTTTGATTGGTTACACGTAACTGGAAGGGTCATTTATTTATTTATAAAATAAATGATAAATTAAAAACAGTGAGTTACTTTTGATTGGTTACAAGTAACTATAGGAATTCGTTCATTTATTTACAAAATAGATGATAAATTAAAAGGAGTAGGTGTAGTAATTTACTGTAACATTTTGGTGTAAAAATTATTTTCTATTAAAAAATGTAATTATTTAATGTTTGCATTTGAGATAATAGGCCTTCCATGTTACATCCTCTGGTTAAAAATCACAAACCAAAAGTAAAATTGAAAGGATTTCAAACTAACTCCTTTGGAACTCTATACTCAAAATTATGGCTATTTTTTAGATGTTGGCTAGCAATATCCAGTCTTTTGGGCTAAAGTGGCTAGTAAATTGGTATGGTATTAATTGGACTGGCCATTTTATTTTTATTTATTTAATTTTTTTTCCTGATTTTTATTTATTTAATTGACTCTTGCATAGATATATCTACTGTACGACTCTCAAGATAGATAGTTGACTATTTTATCAATATTTGCATAACTAACAGAATATGCAATAGTCCAATGGGTCTATGGCGAGTTTGTTAACGGCAACAGTGTGAGGTAAACCCTAATTTGTCTGAAAGTATATTACATAATCTCGTAAATTATTAATTCAAATCAATCACGACACGCAAAATAAATAATAAATAATCATTTATAGAAGTGTATTCGCCCACTCTTTGAAATGGAATAATTCATCCGGAATATTCTCCACCCGTTGTCTGATATAATGTGGCCCATGCATCCAGGAAACCTCATGGGGTCAGTATCGTCATTTCACCAAAAGTAAGTTAATACACATTGAACTCCTAAAAATTTTGAAGGTTGCAGAGAAACCACGCAAATACATATATCTATATATATGAGAGAGAGAGCGTGTTATCTTCGTCAGAGATAATAGAAGAAGAAATATAAAACGAAGAAGCTTCTGTCGTTCGTTTCGTGATTTCGCCCTCATTCCCGTCTCTCTCTCTCAGGTGAGTCCTTGTTTGTATCTCTCATCATCACTGTTTCTTCTTCTTCCTCTTCATCATCACTGTTTCTTCTTCTTCCTCCTCTTTCTCTTTAAGTGTTTGATATTTTTTCTGGGTTTTCATTATCTAGACGACTACGTTATATAAATAACAGCATTACCATATATATTTTTTGTTCGTTTTTTATACTTGAATTTTGGTTTTCATTGCATACATTTTTATATCGATTAACCTATATGTGTTCATAGATATTAATTTGATCTTTCATAGAATTTTCTGTGGATATTTCTCTTTCAAACATAGATCTAATTATTTATTCGATTCAATTTCGCGATTCTTTCTCTGTGTTTATATATATATATATATATATAACTGAAGATTCACGATTGAGATTTGACAGCAATTCGTGATGTGGATTGATTCAAGGATGTGTGGAAAAGGGAAAGGGCAAAACTGTCATTTTGTTCTCATTGCTATTATTATAAAGTGGCTCGTATTTAAAGCGCGTTCGTAACTTCACATTTGCACACATTATGTTCGTTACTTTGACGCAACAGAGTGTAAGCGTGTGGGACCACGACGATTTCTCTATTGTGCCCCTGAAGCTTATTGCTTATTCCAAACCTGTCCTCTCCAGTGGGGTAGAATTAGAATCACTTTTTATTTTACTAGTATTTTATTTGGTTCTAGTTCGGTGACATGACTTAACAAGACAAAATAAACAATTTCTTAGGGAATATTATTTTATCCTTTTTCGCTTATGGTCGGTCCTTGGAATCCCATATTGGTGGAAGAATCTAAGGGCTGATTATATACCACCTTATATACATCGTTTTTCATTTCCTATTAATGTTAAAAAGACCTTTTAGGAACCAAACCCCACATAGAAATTGACCAATCCTGTTCTTTTTGAATTATTTTAAAATATAAATCAAGCAAATTATCAGTATTAAATTATAAAAAATTACGGTAATACTAGATACATCGGAACCTTTGTATAAGTGGTAATGGGATATTAGATTTTTTTTTTCTTTTGATTTATTTATTATTATTGGGTCTTACCAGTTCTCTTTGCGATTAAAGTTCGAAATAATTTTTTAATTTTAATTCTGACATGCCATTTTCGTGACTATATAATTCAAAGTTGACACGTATTGTTATTTTATTTTCATATTGCAGGAACTAAGAAAAGGGTTTGACTCTCTAAGAGAGTTCTGACTTTGCTGCTGACAGAATATATATAGGTGTTCGGGCTGTCAATAACGTCATATTGGCAGCCCGATTTTCTTGGACGGAGTCTTTAAACTCACATCAGGTAACCCATGTCAATCCTGGTTACACCCTGTTTTGACTATGACTCAGTTTTATGTTACTTGTTTTCCTCGTGCGTGTATTACTTAAATATATTATAGGTATGTTTGTATGTGTGTACATGGTCCTAAAATTCCAGTGATTTTGTGCAGGGATTTTAATTCTGGCTTTTGGGTATTTGTGTATATGAGGTATACTTTGGTTTTGGTATGAGAGATTTTGATCTTGGCCACCATCATGGGTTTCTTGAATGGAATCCTTCAAAGACCTGTAGTCACTGGTGCGGTAGTCACTGCTGCTGCTGTCGCGATTGCTTCTGTTTCTACCAATTTTCATGATAAGTTGCAGCTTCCTAAATCACCAGATATTTGTTCTTTCTTAGAACAATTGAATCCTTCAGTTTCCGATTCATTACAAGAAACAAAGTCATCGTGGGTGTCTAACATATTGGTTTCTAAGCTTACCAACTTTTCTTTAATTACTAGAGTTTCAATACCTTTTCCTAACGTAAACCACCCAATTCCTAGTACGGGTTGTAATCTTTTTCCAAAAAATTACTCTGCTTCTATTGCTCCTTCCCCTGTGCTCCTCAACTTGTATCAGTCCGCAGAGTTGGCAAAAAGTCCGAAGCCAACTGCTTATAATCATGCTAGCATCAGGACTTCTAGCTCGTCCTCAGAGGGTCTGTACAGATGGCATTTACCAGAGCCTAATGCTGTTGATATATCAGGGAATTCTGATTGCTCAGCAGCAAAGACGAAGACGGTAGTGGTTTTACTTGGATGGTTAGGATCGAAGCAGAAGCATTTAAAAAGATATGCAGAGTGGTACACCTCAAGAGGGTATCATGCCATTACATTTACTTTTCCTATGGCTGAGATTCTTAATTACCAGGTTGGTGGAAAAGCTGAAGAGCACATAGACTTGCTTGTAAACCATCTGGCTGATTGGTTGGAAGAGGAGTATGGGGAGAATTTGGTTTTTCATACTTTTAGCAACACAGGCTGGTTAACGTGAGCTCTCACTCTCCCTATTTGATATATATATATATATATATATTTGTATGTGTTCTTAAAGCCATTGTTGTTGATTTTTTTTTTTTTTTTTTGTAGATATGGAGTTATTTTGGAGAAGTTTCAGCAGCAGCAGGATCCGACACTGATGGGAAGGATTCGGGGTTGTATTGTGGATTCTGCTCCGGTAGCTGTTCCTGACCCACAGGTAGCATAAGCTTGGAACTTCATAGGATTATTTGTTTACTTGATCATAGAGACATTATGTTGTTGGAAAATTTTAGAACACGCTTACAAACTGTATTACTTGTACGTTTTACAGAGGATCTTTAAGGATGCAAAGTTCGATTTCCTGCTAATAAGATTTGCATCACTATCACCCGTTTGTTAGTTTAACAGGACGTGATTCAATTGAAAAAACAGAAAATTATTTGGCCACGCACAATTACTATTTGAACACGAATAACAATCTGACTGTTACACATATGAAAATTTTCTGCTGAGTTTACTTTGTTGGAGGCCTTTATCTCCTTTACAAGTGCGTTGGTTCACTGCCATTTATATTCTACACATTCTGCATTGCCCGTGTGATTATTCTCTCTCTGATACTAATAATGTTCCTATATAATTTTCAATCAGGCCTGTTTCACGCCTGTTTCACTATTTGCTTTCTGTTTCTCTCCTCTTTTGTTCTTTTCCCTTCTGTAGTAGAAATGCATTTTCTTTTGAATAATAATGATTTCACCTGTAGCATACTTCTAGTTATTCGTACTTAAGTTTGAAGAAGAGGGGTTAGGGGGTCTTTAATAAGTCTGCTTTCTGAGTTTGCTGGAGATGGTTTATTTAATATCTTTTGTACTTCTTTCTAGGTCTGGGCTTCAGGATTCTCTGCCGCCTTTCTGAAAAAGCATAGCATTGCAACAAAAGGATCCATGAGCGCTAAAGAAGCAGGCGATGAGGTATCAGTTGGCACCAAAAGTTTTGTTGAAGCCAAACCTGCAGTAACTGAGGCTGCGTTGCTGCTAGTTTTAGAGAAGTTCTTTGGGGTGGTTTTGAATCTTCCTACAGTAAATCGGTAAGGTTATATTTTTAAAGTAACTGATCATTGTCTGCCTATTGATACATGTTCAAATTCATTTTCTGATCAGTTTTTGGAATTGTTGGATGATTGTGAAACTCTTAAAACAATTTATTATCAAATATAACTACAGTTGGTCATTGATTCATAGATGGATTTAGCTATATTCTGTAGAATTTGTTAATATATATATTTTTAATCCAAAAATTGTTAATGTTTATACACCTATCTTTTACATTAAATCATCCCATCCCATTGTTAATATGTTGACTTGACCATTGTTCTATCACAGACTCTTTATTTATGTCGATTATCTTTTTACAAATTGCAGGAGGCTCTCTGATGTGCTGGGCTTATTGACATCAGGACAACCAAGCTGTCCACAGTTATACATTTATAGTTCTGCAGATAGAGTCATTCCTGCAGGGTCTGTGGAGTCTTTCATAGAAGAGCAGCGGAAGACTGGGCGTGAGGTCAGGGCTTGTAACTTTATCTCTACGCCTCATGTTGATCACTTCCGAAATGACCCAAATCTATATACTTCTCAGCTCACTCAGTTTTTGGAGAATTGCGTACTCACTTGTTGCAAATCTTAAATAAACTTGTAAAACAGAAAAGAAAAGGTCTTTATAAACGTTTAACCATGATTCTTGGTCTCCCATTTCCCCACAAATTTCATACGTATACATCTTTATATTTAATTCGTTGGTGTAGAGGTCCAACGCAAGAGGAGGAATAATTCTTTTTTTTTTTTTCACCCTGTTGTACTCTGTTGTATACGGAACGAAGTTATGCAAATATATAAACAGTTCATCTTACTCCAATCTTGTAAGCTTATACAGTCTAATAATTTTTTGTTATCTCTATTTCTGTATGCAATTTGCCATTTCTCCCTACTATTCCATGCTCGAGGTATTGCTATGAATTTTTGCCACTTTTACTTGTTCACAGTGTCATGAAAGAGAGAAACAATGTGTGTGTGTGTGTGTGTATGAACAACCAATTCCAATTCATTGTTATTATTATTACTATTTTTTTCTCATCATGGTCCTTGCCCTAGAGTGTGTCTGGTGTTGGTGCTTGTCCCAATTTGGTTTGATCTAGGATGTCACAAAGTGTTACTCCAGAGTTCACTTCTTTTGCTTTGATCCACACTTGGATCTCCTTCCCATTGGTAAAGATCTTGTTTGCATGTACATGTATGCATGCATACATATACATAAAAAATGTATGTGTGCGCATGTATGTGTATTCTGAACACTGGGGCTTGATACTTAAATTAATTTACAAATTGATTGCTTTAATGTTGAATAGGGTTCAATCAAAAAAAATTTTTATTGGATTTGCTGATTGAGATTTATATAATGTGTATATTTTGAATTATAGGGATATTTTATGGTTCCAATTTAGATTTTTAATGAGGGATTTATGCTAATTTAGGGTTTTTAGTAAACATTCGACTTCATTTGCAATTTTCACCAATTGGGTTAATAAGATTTGGAGTTTTCATTGAATTAGGGTATTCAATGGAATTGGGATGGTAACATTCGAAAAAAAAATATGGAATTGGGATGGACAGTCTCTCATGGGATGGATATCTAATATTTTGTATGTATTAAAGTGCACTTGATTTGGATTTTGCAAAATTGTAAAAGTTTAAATTTCCAAATTGCAAATTTTATAAAATGAAAAAATTACAAATTTAATTATGATGAAATTAATATTTTGGAAAATTATATCCATATTTTGTAAGTTAAATTTAATCAAAATCTAATTAATTATAGGCATTGAGGGTAAAGGCCTTGGCCTTGTACCATTTGGAGTGTGCCAATCTTATATATAGATATATAGAAGACTTTTTCTTTCTACACTAATGGATGTGAGATTCATTCCACCCCATGGTATGAGCTTGAATGGTGTTGCTGCAAAATGCTTAATACCATTTGTAGTTTACATTTCCTACAATAACATTTTTCTTAGACAATGTGGTAAAAAGACGATGTGCGATTATGCACCTGTAGCTTATCAGTGCCTTGCTCACACCCATTTGCGCACGCTCACCCACAAGATTATCACACATCTATATTTTAAAGTGGATGGTGAGAATTTGAGTTTTCGAATGAACAAAGCGAGTCAGTATGTGTGAGTGGTGTGTAGTTTTGCCAACAAAAAAAAATTTAAGTCATTGGGCATGGTTGAGGTGATCTCATCTTGGAAAATTAAAATAACATGAAATTTAAGACTTCACCTTTTTTGTTTTTTTCTGGCTTTCCTTTGATTCTCTCATTATCCAAAAATGATAGATGTGAAACTTGACTTAAATTTTTTATGGATAAAATGATAAAAAAATTCTTAAGTGATACTTTGTATTATGAAATGTAAAAGAATATTGACAAAAAAGAAAGGTAAAAATACTTATTTATATATTTTTTTACATCAAAAGGTAAAAAAGATTTTGGACCCTTCAAATTAGGGTTGTAATTTGGACAAGTAAGAGAGTCTAACTTGAGCCCAAGCTAACATATAAAATGTTTACCCCAAACTCAATATTCAACTCCAGCAATATAATGCTTCAGATTTATTCGGATTACTAGCATATTAACTCAAATTCAACTTTAATTAAATTGAAATTGATATTTTTTTAACCCAAAACAAACCTTAATTATAAAATTAATTGCTCAAAATCAAACCGGACTGGGAATAGATTTGCTCGACCCAAATTGCACCCCGACTTCAAATTCCATTGGGGTGTGGTGAAATAAATAAAAATAAAATAACGATTAGTCTTTCGATGATTATCGAATCCGACTACTGTCGTAAAATCAAGGACAGAACACAAGAAGAATAAAAAGGAAAAAGAAAAAAAGCAGAAGACAAGAAGAAGTTGGGAGCAGCTGCAAAAGGATGAGCAGAAAGAATAGAGGAGAAGAGAGGGAAAGGGACGAGGTGTCGGAGTTGATTCAGGCGGCGGAGGACGAGATGCTTCTGAAGCTGACCGTCAACTCACACATGTCCCGTGGTTCCTCTTCCTCCTCCAACATCGATCCTGATCTCGAACGTCGATTTCAAGCCCTCAAATCCTCCTCATCCTCAAAATCAAAATCAACATCAACTTCAACAACACCCCCACCACCACCACCAAACCCACCAACCGTTCAAACTGATGTTGATGATCACAATCTCCTCGCCAGATTCGCTGCACTCAAGAAGACCTCTTTGCCCTCTTCTTCTTCTTCATCTTCTTCAGGTAATCCCCATAAATCCTCCGCCGATGATTTACCTGATCAGGCGGGTAATAATGATGATGAAGACGAAGTCCAGAAGCTGATTAGATGGGCGATTGATGCTGCTCGACTTGATCCTTCTCCTCCCTCCGACATCGATGATGACAACGACGATGATAATGATGATAGTGATGATGGTGATGATGATGGAATGAATAGGGAAAAGAAAGGTCGGCGAAAGTAGTAAGTATTGTTGTAATTATTGTTACAAGAATTCACAAAAAGGGTTTTATTTTTATATTCTGTTTAGTTTATTGAACTGTTGTTATTACTTTCATCTGATTATACAATGAGATTTACAAATGGGTTTGATTTTTTCATTGATTGGTTTGGTTTGTGATAGACACTCTGGAAATTAAGAATTTGAATGACAACATATTAATTACCAGCTCAAATATGTTCATAGTTGATTCACAAAGTGTACGATTGATTGAATTGCTTGTTGTTAATATTCTATGTGATGGACTAAAGTTCAGATTGTTAGACAAAATTAAGCAGAAAAACAAGGAAAAACAGATCAAACTCATACAAGAAGATTTTTACTTGGTTCACCCAAAACTAGGGCTCTGTTCAAGGGTTGTAGGATTTCACTATGATGAGCAAAAACAGCACAATACCCTCGCACTAGGGTTGCAGCTCAGCCAATGAAGTTTAGAGGGAGATATAAAACTCTTGCAGCTAAGAAATATTTGCTAAACGGCTGGAATTCGAGCAACTATTGACTTTTGACATGAAATTGATTTCCAATATTGTGACATTGTCTTTAGAAACCATAGAAGAGCCAAGATCTCGGCAGGACGCTTATCAGAGGATCGTTTGGAGTTGATTTACTCATATGCATGCCTTCCTCATATAATGATTTCTTGATAGATGTTCATATACTATCTTTGTCCCTATTTATTGAGTCTTGCTTTCTGGATATTGCTTATGCTAATGTATAATAGTTTGTGAATGATCTAGTACCATATTCTTGGGGCTGTAAGATGCCTAGATGAGGTACCCTCATAGGTAAAACAACTTCTTTGAGAAACTGGAATTACAACATCCATTTGTATGACTGCAAGGCCTTTTTTCATAGATTCCTAATTCATTACTTGATGTGTTAGCATTATTTCAGAGAGTTTGATAAACTTTTGGAGCTATATTAAGCAGTTACTTATTCCTAAGCAGGAGTTTACAATAACTAGGCACATAGCCGGTAGAAGCGTGCATATACCCAGCTTTGTCAGAGCGCGCTAAGCCTCTAAACGCCAAATAGAGCCCTCAGACTCATGCTTTCCTCATAGGCTTCAGGTTCAGTGAAGTTATTTTTTTAGTCATTGAATCGTATTTGTTTTTCTACTGGCAATTAGTTGACATACTCTAGACTATAATATAATTATATCATATTTGATGGATCATATTGTTTAATTTTATCAAATATTTAGCAAAAATCATGAACTTACTGGTGACTACTTGTATTAGATGCTTAAATGCCAAAAATTCACTTTTCAATTAATGTTATTGTTCCAAAAACTCGTACGAGACTTTGGCACTTTAGTCTAGACGGCTGGAATTCGAGCAACTATTGACTTTTGACATGAAATTGATTTCCAATATTGTGACATTGTCTTTAGAAACCATAGAAGAGCCAAGATCTCGGCAGGACGCTTATCAGAGGGTCGTTTGGAGTTGATTTACTCATATGCATGCCTTCCTCATATAATGATTTCTTGATAGATGTTCATATACTATCTTTGTCCCTATTTATTGAGTCTTGCTTTCTGGATATTGCTTATGCTAATGTATAATAGTTTGTGAATGATCTAGTACCATATTCTTGGGGCTGTAAGATGCCTAGATGAGGTACCCTTATGCTAATGTATAATAGTTTGTGAATGATCTAGTACCATATTCTTGGGGCTGTAAGATGCCTAGATGAGGTACCCTCATAGGTAAAACAACTTCTTTGAGAAACTGGAATTACAACATCCATTTGTATGACTGCAAGGCCTTTTTTCATAGATTCCTAATTCATTACTTGATGTGTTAGCATTATTTCAGAGAGTTTGATAAACTTTTGGAGCTATATTAAGCAGTTACTTATTCCTAAGCAGGAGTTTACAATAACTAGGCACATAGCCGGTAGAAGCGTGCATATACCCAGCTTTGTCAGAGCGCGCTAAGCCTCTAAACGCCAAATAGAGCCCTCAGACTCATGCTTTCCTCATAGGCTTCAGGTTCAGTGAAGTTATTTTTTTAGTCATTGAATCGTATTTGTTTTTCTACTGGCAATTAGTTGACATACTCTAGACTATAATATAATTATATCATATTTGATGGATCATATTGTTTAATTTTATCAAATATTTAGCAAAAATCATGAACTTACTGGTGACTACTTGTATTAGATGCTTAAATGCCAAAAATTCACTTTTCAATTAATGTTATTGTTCCAAAAACTCGTACGAGACTTTGGCACTTTAGTGGCCCTTGAGCCTTTAATAACTACAAGGAGGCAAGATTGCGGATTACATTAAAATACCAGAACAAATACCAATGATTAGATGCACCTTTGTATACAAAAAATAGGGTAAATTTAGGTTTGACTGGGTAAGAAATGTTGTATTTGTTGTTGCAACGAAACCTAGACCGAGAGGGTGTCAAATTGTACTTAGAAGTCTTATATTTTTACATATATATTTAGTTGCTTTCTGTATAATATAAAATCTTTCATTTATTTATATAAAAATAGATGCATTACTTTTGGCTGATTGTTGCTTAATCTGATAGTGGTTGGTTAATCAAATTTACTTTGATTCCCCCTCCCTCTAGGCTCCCTCTTTGGGAGGTGTGGTTTCCAATTTCTATCATCCCCTTCTATTGTTCAGATGAGTAAGGGGAGAAATACTTTATTGTTCCTGTTGTATCAAGGACATGGTAATAAATATTGACATGTGGTGATAAGATCTACTAAAGTAAAATACTTTTACTTATGTGATAAGATATAATTGGTTGATAGCACGGATGACGTAGTATCACCGGTGCGGGAAAGTCTTTCTCAAGTAAAGAGTAAGAGGCATTCTACCTACATGTAATTCGATAACCTATGAAATACAATGTGAGGATGTCATCTTGATAATTTGATAACCATTCTTCACGTCTTTTTAATTGTTTCATATTATTTGCTAGCTGTAGCTACCTCCCATGAGCTTGAAGGGCGTAAATCAATCATTGAGTAAAAATGCTTGAAGGGTGTGTGTGTTTGTTTGCAGTACCATATAATTGTAAAAGGGATTCATTCACTTGAATTTCTGTTTGTAATTACACAAATCAAAACAAGATATCTCATGTTTTATAAGCAAATCTTCTAAATGGGAAAGTAGATTTATTTATTGACTTATATTTTTCTTGGGTAAATGGGAAGTAGATTAATAACCTCAATAAGATTTTTTTTTTTAAAAGATTTTGTGGCTGCAACTGTGTTTTCCCTTCTTCTTCCCATTAATCGAAGGACATGTATCACTGCCAAACATTTCCTATGCAAAGGTTAATTCAATTCCAATAATGCTATATATCACGAGGCAGTCATGTTGGATATACTGTTTTTGGTTTGTGGGAAAATTAACAAAAGTTTTCTTCATTATCTAATGAGAAGATCAGTTTTCAACCATATGCATATTTATTGGGAAGCATCAATGAAGCATCTAAAACGAGAACCAACCAACATTAGACCACTCAGAGAAAAAAATAATAATAATAAAAATTGAAGTTATAGACATGTTACCATTGACGTGAGTTAAGTTACTTAAAGGGGGAGTGAAAGTGATAAAATTAAGTCATAAATAGTATGAACGAGAGCGAGCACGGAGCTTGAGAGTGGCATCCATTAACAAGAATTGTGTAACTTAAATCCTGAAGTCTAGTTGTGAGAAAATACTCTACCCATCGTTTCCCCCTTTTTTTTTTTTCTTTTTTTTTTTTGACAAGTTTCCGATTAAATTGAGTTGAAGCTTCAAAGGACATAGACATAGATTTGTCTCATATCAAATCATCCCATATGAATAGGCCGCCGGCGACACACGAATGAGATACAAACATAACCCTTTGATACTAATTTCACAAAGTAATTGCTCTTAGAATTCGAACTCAATTCGCACAACATTTGCTAGTCAGCATTTTACCACACTAGCCAATGGCCTACAGTTTCCATCAGGAGTTGCTAATCAAACAACAGCTTAAAGCAAATAATTTTGGGGTTTTACATCACTTTATTATCGAGAAGGAAGGCAATAGTCTTGACAAGCAAAAGGGTAGAATAGTCATAATCCTATTACCAACAGACTGTCAATGCTAGAACATTTGGCATCGACATTTCTTTAAACAAACCTATACACATGTTTCCTTCAAAAGCCAACTATGGCTTTGTCCTCCAAAATTTCCAGCTAATTTATCAAAGTGCTGGCTAAATTTTATTGCATAAAAGCAACACGGATCACCAATATACTCATGCCGCCTGTTTCAGCCTCCATCTGTATAATGACGTACGAAAGATGAAACAAACAGAAAGATTAAATTCAATTCCCCACTAAGTATTCAAGAGTTAGTGGATTTAATGCTGTGGTGCCATTATTAAATTTGGAGAGCAGATGCTATTGGAGCCGCAAGGCTAAGAACTTCGAATGGGGCTCTGTTCTTCACCTCCTTCACCGTCAGCGGGCACGAGTCTGTGATCCAGAAGTAACTCAACCCATTCTCCGGGCACCCTGAAGAGATCGAGTGAGAACAAATGGAGAAAAGAAAATCAAAACCTTTAGGTAATCAAATTCCAGATATGAGGAAAGAAAACAGGGCCATGAAAGGCTACTTAATATTTTGAAAGAATCAGTATCTATTAACTTCGGGGAGGAGCTGAGCTGAAGGAGAAGGGTTTAAAAGTAAAGGTTCACTCTCATTTTATGGACTTGCCCGAATTGCTTTCCCCTTTCACAATTTGTATCCTTCTGACTTATTATCTTATGAAATAATTTTTCACAATATCTTCCTGGTTTTTTGCCTCAATAGTAAATAGTAATCACACTGACGCCATGATTTACGAGTATCATTCGCAACTTCATTTATAAAAATCTATTGTCCAACACATACCTTTTCCAACTTTTATTCCCATTTCACTTTAAAAACAACTTTATAACTAAAAAATTCCGTCATTCATGTATAAAATATTTTATTCATTTTTCATTATCTAAGATGTCCTAAATAGAATATTTCTCAATTTATATTATTTACAGAACTCACAATGCACTTAAATGAATTTTTATTCCAACTGTATTTTTACCTAAACCTTTCTTCATTTAGTAATATTTATACCATTATTTGAAATTTTCATAATCTTCATTTTCTTTAATCAGCTCATATTGATCCCACTTACTCACTTAGGGATGGCAATTTCCCCCAAACTCGGCAGGTTCCCGCCCCGCCCCTAATGGGGAGGATTTGGTAGCCCCCTAAATTTGGGGTGGGTATGGTACAATAATTGAAAACCAGAAACAGGTTTGGGATGGAGGTGAATTTAGTGATGAACCCGCCCTGAACTCGCCCTGATCATATATGTACCTTTATAAAAATTATATATATATAAAATATATATTTAACATTTTTAAGATCCTTGTTACTTCACTGGAAGTGTTAGTTAATATATTAATTCACTGCTCAGTAATTTAAAAACTGGGCCAGCTTATTTATCAGCCCAATTTGAACACATTGGGCTAGTTTTTTTTTTTTTTTTTCTACATAATAAAAGTGACATACCCCGCCCCGCCCCGCCCCTACAATTAAATAGAGTAAGCGGGACGGAGTCGGTACTTTGTCTACTAAAGTAGGGACAGGAATGGTATACCAATTACAAACCTGTCCCGGAGTAGGGGCGGAATTGGTATGACTGATTTTCTAACGAAGCAGAGTAGGGGTTAGCCAACTCTGCCTCGTTGCCATCACTAGTACATGGGTCTTTAACTAGTATGATAAGGACCAATGTTATCTGGTATTTACCAAGATCCTTAGCTTCATTATTATTTATTTGGTCCTGATAGAAAAACCAAGAAAATAGAGGGAAGATTTAATCCAATTAACCTAAAGCCCTTCACCTCCACTTTAAAGCATAAAATGCACAGAACATACAGTATAAGCTCAATTTTACATGCTGACATTAACAGCAGAACAAAAAAATAAAAAAAATAAAAATACTAGAGTGATGTGGATTAATTTCAAAGAAGTATTGCAAAAGGCGTGGGGTAAGATAACTTTTATTTATATTTACCTCTTTTGAGGTAAGCAACTCCCACACACTTCTTGCCCCAAGTGGGGCTTGAATCCTCAACACTACATTAAGGCGGTGGAAGAGATACCACCCAAGCCCCACACACACACAGAGGTAAGCAACTCCCACACACTTCTTGCCCCAAGTGGGGCTTGAATCCTCAACACTACATTAAGGTGGTGGAGGAGAAAGCACCCAAGCCACACACACACACACGTGAATTCCAAGTGTACTATGTCAATTTGAACTTGTTCTAAGATGATTCCTATGGAGTTTAATGAAAGGATTCAGGGGAAACTTTGTTTTACATCCACATTCATGGGTGAAAGAAAATATTGGGGAAAAAAACTCGATTTAATTTAGTATTGATGAAAAGAATCAGAATCTTGCAAAATATTAAAAGAAGGGGTCCCTTTTGCGTGTGTGTGTGTGTGTGTGTGGGTTGGGAGAGAAAGGGGTGGGGGGTGTTTGGTGGGGGTTGGCGGGATTTGTTTTTTCCTACAGGCTTCAAACAATCAGATAATTTTAGGTGCTTTTAGGAAGAAAAGAGGTCAGCCAAGTAAGATATTAGATGTGAAATTATCAAAGCATAGGAGATAATAGTAATGATAACAACTAAAATTATCTTATCAGCGATTAAATGGAAATGAGAAGATACGCGAATACCTCCATTATCATGTTCAAATCGTTCCCAAGACCTATGAGGAAAAATTCCATGTGTCACATAGGCACTGACTTTTGCTGCTCCATGTTTGGCCAAAACTTTCTAGAAGACAAGAGATGAAATCATAAGCATGGCATTCCAAATCAGAGGGGGGAAAAAAAAGAAGAAGAAGAAGAAGAAAATTTGTGGAGACCACTTACTGTAAAAGAGATAACGTTAGTCAGAGATTTACAAGCAGTTTATATCCATCAACATAGGCCAAACAATTATAATATAGAGATTTTAGATTCCCATATCTGTGCTCAATGGTTCCAGGTACTGATCATCATGGATAATTGGGCTATATCTGAGGGAGGGGGAGGGGGAGGAGGAGGAGGAGGAGAGGGTCGCAGAGTGGGTGGGAAAGAAAGAGGTGAAGTAAATTAAATGCTGCCATAATGTAGGGATGTTGACGAGACTTCACAATCTTCTAAAATTTACTCTCTGTTGTTTTGAAAAGAGGGGGGAAATTTGTAAAGCACAAAACCTGCCAATATCTCCCACTTCCAACTTTATAAGATGGTAAGATATTCTATCTGATAATTTTAAAATATAGCGTAAAAATGAAATTATACCACAAATCTGTTAACCATGCAAGCCAAAACACACTGATGGTGATGAGAGTTAGTCTCCTTTCCAATTTACTTTTACAGTTTTACCCGTACATGGGAATGTGCTTGTAATTATGGCTATTTTAGAATTCAAACCTTTGATGCATGCATAAAACTAATCATTATTTGTTCTCTTCTTTTTCTCCTTATCTTATTATTTTGAATTACCCACCATCCCTTCTTTCTATTGTTTTGTGCTAAAAAGCATTTTGGAAAGCACAAAACCTGCAGAATTTCCACTTCCTCCTTTATAAGTTCGTAAAGATATTCTGCCTGGTGTGCTCAAAATATAGGGAAAAGGTGCAGTTCAGTGCCCAAGCTGAAGCCAATAGCAAAAGCAGTCTGCAAACCATGATTGGACTGCAGCATAAACATATAGATCAGGAAGCTACATCCTTGCAGCTATATGGCCATACACCAATACCCTTGGTTCCCTCCACAACTATCAATATGACACAGTTAACAAGCACCGATCAGCTGCTATTGAAACCAGTCCTGGATAATCATATTATGAATGGGTCAACTATTTGCTGCAGTACTGAATGAGGTGTAAATATCTCAAGGATTATAATCCCGGCCAAACAAGAAAACATTAATTATCAAAAGTGTTAAATTCAATTCAACGCAACTCAATATAGCATTATCTCAAGTTCTCAACTATTACGGGTCAAATTCAGTTAGATCATGGGCTAATCATGTCTATCTGAGTGGCTCAGCAAAACCTTGTGGTGTTTCCTGGTTCTTTTCATGCCTTCAAGCAGAACAATATCATTTACCATTATTGTCTGTTTCTTTTTTATCCGAAACACTTAACATAAATCACATGACATACTTCTGTTATATCAATTTCTATATAGCACTTCAACATGGTGCCCCATGAAGTAGCTCTACCATATACATAAACAAATGACCAGAATGAAAAATGCCTAGGCTTGTTCACCATAGGAATAAGTTTGCCCCATAAGGACCACTTATCTCCTTTTTCCTATTTTTTTCTTTTGTACATGAAGTAGCTCTACCATATACTTCTCTACATGTACATGAATAAGAGTTTATCCTTTTATATTGACCAAAGAGACTGACATAATGGAAAAGAACAACCTCTGCAAGGATTTTCATACCTGACACTCAATCAGAGTGCCACCTGATTGTACTAGATCATCAACTATCACAACATGACGTCCTTTAGGGTCTCCCTCTTTTAGGCGCACAATCCGTTGACCACCTTCCCGAACTTTCGTACAAATAATCTGTAAATCAATTGTGCAGGGTGGTTAGACAGATGCACTATGAAAGAAGTTGTTAGATAAGATGAAACTGGATTAGACAAGTAGCCTGTGGCCTTGGTAGTTATATTGACAGACTTGGTGTGTGTTCAAGAAAGTAATGAATAAAATTAATCACAACCCTTGTTATGATTAGGAACAATACCGTTGGGAAATGCTGAAGCTGCTTATGAAAGCGTTTCCATGCACCATCATCAGGAAAAGCGACGCATATCTACAGAGAGAATGAGAATTGTCAGAGATGAAAAAGACCTAAGAAGAAATTAATCACATTATCAAATTTATATGATTCCAAGAGATTTAATAGACATCTAGTCTAGACTAAATTGGAAAATATGATGAAGAGAGGAATTATCCTAAAGAAAATAGGTTCAGAATAACTTGTTAATTGTGAAAGCCTTCCAAAGCAATTCATTCAAATAATGTATGTGTTATACCACGAGAAGTACATGTAAATATTAAGTAGCTCAGCTACTTGGCTCAATATTAATGTCATGGTTGAAACCATCAGATGTGAGAATTGAAACCTCACAAATCTTTCAAGTTTTAAGTACAATGGAATCAGTAGAGATCATATATTGCCAGTTCTGCAGTAAAAAATCTGGTCTAAAAACCTGACATTGTCAATGTCAAAGGATCAGACTTATGCAACATTATTTTTCAGTTGGTATGTATGGGTTCGTTTTCACAGCCAATCCTTACAGTTTCGCATCGTAAGATTCATAAGTGGTCTTTATCATATCAACAATTTTATAAAAGCAACAACAATGCAAATAAAAAACTCTTCTTTCTGTAACTAAGAACAAATTCTAGAGCATCTTAATCCTTCAGCATTAAGGGAATAGAAGAACATCTTACATTGTCAGAATCAGGGAGTTGTTGAAGTCTATTTTTAAGCAAACAAATGCCACTCTCAAAGCATGGTAAAATATTATCACCAAAGTAGAATCTCTCCTGAGATGCAACAAAGCAAGGGAACAAGGATGGTAAGAAAATTGGCAAAAGCAGTATAGCTTAAAAAAAAAAAAAAAAAAAAAAAGGAAAGAAAAGGAAAATGAAAGATAGGATTAAAAAAACATATTGGAAATTCTAACATGAAAAAGATAGTCAAAGCACTGGTCTGGCAGATTGTGGCACTAACCTGCAAGGCATGGATATCAAAAATCACTAAGCTAGAGGGCCCTCCCCTTGAAATTGGAATGTGTGACAAGATCCTAGCAAGGGTAAAAGCTGTGGCTATATCTCCTTCCTCCTCCATGCGCTCAGATGTGCCCGTGGGGAAAAAGGGAAGGACAAGTGTGAACGAGGAGATAAACAGCTTCGGCAATGCATAGATGACAGAAAGTTGCTCAAAAATTACTCCTGGAGAACTAAATGAAGCCAGAAAAGCTACATGTTGTCCCCGAATGCCATGAGCATTAGATATGAACAAGTTGGGGAATCCATCTTCAAATTTCCTAAATTATTACATTATGTCATATATGTCAGCATTCAGGAACAAGAACTTCAACTTTATACATCACAAGTGCACAACATCAAAGGAACTCTAGGAGCCAAAAATTGTTTCAATAACCTAATTTTGTACTCATAATCTACATGTTACTGGTTAAGTTATTAAAAGAAATATAATAGCAGCAACAATACCCAGCTTTCACAAGTGGAATTCTGATCTGACCAAGTAAATTTTGGGGTATTTAGTTGGGCTCATAACATTTGCATCAGAGCTGGCACCACATTAAGGTTATAGTTGTCAAAAGGGCCATTCAAAAGAGGGCTAACTACACCAGATTGAAACAACCTAGAGGGAGTGGAGGCTGAAAGTATCGAGAACAGGGCTACTTGGAGTTGGAGCTACATCGGAAGAAGGGCTTGATCTCATGCTCTCTATCAGTCCTGCTGCTCTTCCTGTACTGGTCAATTTCACAATGCACCATGTCAAAGCATTGGTCCAATAAAGACGCCTTCAATGAGGTGTGTGCCTATGGCACTGGGGTACATGCACCAACCAAGCAACAATACCCTTCAAACAAAATTACGTCTCATCTTTATAAAAATAACTTTCCATCAAAGAAATTAGCAAGATGAACACTACCCTTCAAACAAAATGGCATGATTTTGCCATATTCATGGCATGATGAGCATTGTAATAAATGGTTAACAATGGATGATATCGAAATTTTACTCGGAAAAAGAAAGACTGAAAAAATGCAAATTTTTGCAGTGAAAGTTCAAGTCGAAGATCAAAGTGAAAGTTGCGGATTTCTTTGCCCCACTCTCCAGACTCCGTCACATGAACTCTAATTTCTCAACCTCATTAACTTTTTAATCATTATAAATTGAGTTGGTCTGACACACCCAAGAGAGATCAAACAACAGAAATAAAAACATAATTATAACACAGCCTTTTTGCCAACGTGAAGCAACTCCAATTGAGCTACAGTATTTAGTTTCAACATACTTTATTCAATTGCAAAACCAATAGACATATATATAGTGTGTGTGCGTGTTTATACATACATTTGCATGTTTGTATGAATTCTATAAGTTTTAGGCAAATGGAGTGAAGAATTTACCTCCAGGTGATACTACGAAGCTCAATGGCGTCGGATTCGGCAGCGATTCTTTCGGCAAGGGCTTGCATTTCGGCACAATAGAAGAGGCATACCTTCTTGGAGTTATTCAGACTTGAATCCAACGCCATTGGAATAGGAGAAGGAGGTTTAAGGATGATGTGAATAGGATCGCTACCAGAGACGCAATCAACGGTCCACTTTTGGGGGCTTTCGAAGCTCGTGAGCTCGCATCGAATCCGGTTCTTATCTTCGAGGAATCGAAGGTATGAAGGCTTCGAACACAGAGGAAATGGAGAAGAAGAGGGCTTTAGGGATTTATTAGGGTTTCTTCTGCAGGGAGAAGGAAGGGTTGGTGGTGGAGTGGTAGACATGTGGATTTGTTGCGGTGTATCGGCCGCCGAGAACGGTGTCGTCGGGGGAGTTGGGATATTTTCTGCTTGCGTAGCGGAGACGATGACTTTCGTTTTCAGTTTCCAAATTCCAATTGTACCCCGTCTGGCTGACACGTAAGCTAGCCTTTTTTTTAATTGAAAATTTTAAGTGGTTCCAACTAATCATAAATTACCATGAAAACAAAATACTGTGATTGGTCGAAATTATGTAAAATACTGCGATTGGTCGAAATCATGTAAAAAATGTGAATACAGATAAAAATAAAAGAAAGGAAAGATGTAGAATGGTATATTAAGAAAAAAAGTGAAATGAAATAATAGTAATTATATATATAGAAAAGAAAGAAAATGAAATTAATTTAATGCATTTATTACTATACTATTTTTTTTTTTTTATAGATTTTGCCTTTCATAAAAAAAGGAATAAATTTGGTATTAATAAATTTTTATTAAAAATACTAAGATTTCTTTTATTTTTTTCATTTCCTCCCAAAATATGAGAGGATAGACTCTTTGTGGGCTTACGGCTTATCCGATCCCAGAGCCGTTAGCTATTATTATTTCTTAGATGAATATATAATCAGGTGCTAACTGATAAGTTACAGTTCCAACTCATAATCATAAAAGTACCCACAAAACGTGGTGACAAAAACATCAGGCTTCGAGTCTTCTTTCCATAGCCATTGAGTTTGTCCAATTTGAAGTTTCTAGTAAAAAATTAATGCCAAAGTACTGAACTCAAAAGTCTCATTTTCTTAATCAACAAATTAAGTTTTAATGTATATCTTCAAATCCTTTTATTCCTTTTTTTTCCTTCTAAAATTTTATATCAAACACAAATATATATATATATATATATATATATATATATCCCTCCATTTTCTTTCTTTCCCTTTACATTCAAACAGGCTCTAATATAGAATAATTTTTTTTTTTTCATTTAAAAAAAAATAATACTCTCAAACTTTAAAAGAAAATGAAGTAAATAATAGGCAAAGTTTCTACTATGTAGTATCCCATACAATAAAATCTCTCAATTTCTCTAGGAAATGAAAATTTATTGGATAGCCTACCCAAAACGCGTTCCATGAAATACAATGACATAAGGGAATTCATCCTCTCAAAAAATATTTTTATTGTGCCCGTTCCATGTTGTAACAAGTATATTCAACCGTTCATGTAATATACATATACATGCACCCGTTGCGTCGTGTAACGAGCGCAATGAAATTTTTCTACATTCCTATCCTTAATCTTTAAAAAAAAAAAATTAAAAAGTGTTTTTTAACTCGTTCTTTAAATAAAAAGTAGTGAAACATGAGAAAACATTTGGCATTGTACGTGTTTAAATAGTAGGGAAAAAAAAAATCATAGGAAAGAATTCTCTTTAACTATCTAAATTTTGACATAAATTACTTGTTAACACAACTCTGACATATTGGGTTGCGGTTGGAATAAATAAAATATTATTAGATTTGTCAAAAAATTACGATCAATATTCAATAAAAAGCATGTTAGGTGTTTGGTGACACATTACAATAAGTTTTTTTCATAATTAAATTATTTTTAAATTTATTTTGTAATAATATATTTTTAAACATTTCTATTGCTAATTTTACAATAATATCATTTAATATAATGTTATCATATTTGATAATAACAACTTGAATGAGTGTAATTGTTTTTATAAAAAATAAAAGGTAAAGTACAGTCACACCCCTTGAGGTTTGGTAAATGACACATAGATAAAAGTTACTCATTTTTTGAACAAAGACACCCATTCAAGTTTGAAAAATGGACAAAAAAACTCTGAAAATGGTGAATTAACTTTATTACCCTTTGATATAAAATTGATATTTTAATTGCCTTAAATACCTTTGGATCAAACCCAAACCCAAACCCAAACCAAGACCTTTATTCCTTTCTCTCTATATGTAGATACACACACATTACATAATAGCCGCCACCGCCACCACCAAAACCTACACAATCCTAATTCCAACCCATCACCAATCGTCGCTGTCGCCACCACCTACACAATCCCAATCATCAATCATTGCCACCACCCACACAATCATCGCCTCTCAAACCCACCACCAATCCACGGCCTCTCCCTTAAACCCAGATTCTGTAAAGCCCTTTTCTCTTCGTATATTTATACACACACACACAGATTACAAACTTTGAATAGTCGAACTAAACACGTCTAAGCAGCATCACTCTTGTGTTGGGAGTTTATTTTATTAGTAAATTTGATTCGATTTGATTGGGTTCTTGTGTTTGAGTTGATTTTTTAAGCTATCCGATCAATACCTTGATTCAAAAAAGGTAAAGTGATTCATGTATTCTTGTTGTTTAATACAAATATATATATTACAGTGTATATAGGGTACTATATATATATAATACCCTAAGCATTTTGATGACATTTGTTTCTGAACTTCAAATTTTTTAAAAATTCATTATACAATTGAAAAATAGACACAAGTCATTTGCTTTTAATACTCCCTCTGTCCCGAAGCCAACATCTAAAATGGGACGGAGGTAGTAATATTCTGCCCACAATTCGTTCAAAGACGATGGCAAAACTGCCACTGATCTTCTGACGCCGACGTCGGAGATGAGGAGAGCAATACAGACCTTGACCTTGATCTACTTCCTTGATCTGGTGGCGGAGAAGGGATCAGACTACTGGTTCGACTCATCGTAGTCATTGTTGGGGGATGCGCCACGGAGAGCGGTGTGGGTAGGTGTGGTGGTGGTGGTGGAGGCTGAAGTGTAGTGGCGGTGGCGGCGGCCGACGACCCCTGCACCTGCCGCGCCGGTGTTGGTGGTGGTGTTGTAATGTGTGTGTGTATATATATATATATATATATATGCCTGTGTGTATATATATATATATATATATATATATATATATATGAGAAAAGTGCCAAAAAAACTCCTGTATTATTGGAAAACTTGCATCACTGTTCCGGTAGGATCCATCACTGTTCCGGTCGGATCTTACCATTAAAGTGACGAGGTCATATACACTATAATTTTAATGACCATACATAAGCTTGAAAAGACACTAAAGCCCCTTATTATTGTAACAATTAAACCCAAACACCCCTTTAAACGCCCCCAAACACGCCCTTATTTATATATATAATTATATATATATATACACACACAGATACATATAGTTACAAATTATTGTTTATATTCTCCGCAACGTGCATGGTGGAAAGAAAAAAAAAAAAAAAATTCATGTTCAGTGTGGAACTTTATTTGTGCTCGTTGTAGAACTAAAAAAAAAATCAAAATTGGGACTAAAATTTGAAGACTTTCGTAGATAGAAGCACACCATCATTGTTCGCCTTATTAGTGTCGATGCAGGGACGGAGAAATTGACGTGAACTTCATGGTGGCGGTGGTGTCAATTAAATTTGCAAAATTCTCAACCATCGCCAAACACAAACGCAGTGAAGTTCATGGCAACCCAGTAGTTTCAGCGTACTCCAAGTGGAGAGCTTCATCAAACCTATTGCCTACGTTCAGTGAATAGAGATTGCATCGGCGGTGGAGATTCACCCCCGGGTCTGATTGGAAAGATGAACATTTGTCGGTCTTTGTTTGGACATGTGGAGTGGTCGGCGACGAAGTTGAGGCCGACGATATGCAACATGAAAGAATAATTGATGGACAAGAGCTGCCAAGATTTGGCCACACAGGTGCAGCCAAGAATAGGTGCGGCAATGAAGCTGCAGCAGAGGGCAGTGAAGAAGAAAGTGACGCGTGCGCGTGTGAAGAGCGCGTTAGATCCATGCGTAGTGGCGCGTGAAGAGCGCGTTGGCACGTGAGGCGTGAGTCATACGACGGCGGTTTGTTTTGCGAACCTCTAAATCATCTTCTTCTAGGTTGCCAACGTTATACGCCTCCGTGCTACCGATGACGATTTTTGGGTGCCTTTTGTCGCCTTGGCCGTGGTGGTTTCGTCTGCCATGATGCCTATCTGGCTCTCTCGTCTAGTCGATGAGCTTGTGGCGATGCTCAGAACACGGACAACAGCAAATCAGAGACTAAAGAAGTCGCGATTCCGGTGATGGGCTATTATAAAGAAGTTCGACTGTGATTGGGTTTGATGACGGCCGGCGGGACTGAATGGCTGCGAGCTTGGCTTAGGATAATGGCGGCCGACGGTGGAGTGAACTTAGTCGCGATAGGGTGGTTCATGGCGTGATGGTAGCAGTAAGTTCTCTCTTGGGTTGCGATCGGCAGAACCCTATCTCAAAATTCTGCTATAGTGAATTTTAAGTGTTGAAAACTTGAAACTACACCCTTTATTTTAAGGATATATTTGTCTTTCAGATTTTCCAGCACCGACAATTGACCTGATGGATTTAATTGCAACAGAATTAAAGTTTAAGGGGTTTTTTTTGTAGTTCAGGGGGTAACTTGCAAAAGCCCTATAGTTTAGGGGGGGTTTTATGCACTTTTTTCTCTCTCTATATATATGTATATATGTTAGAGATAGAGAGAGAGAGACATGGATGGTGTGATAAGAAAAGAAAAAATGAATAAGGGTTATTGCGTCATTTTGCAAGGTTTGATATTTTGTAATATATCTGAATTTAATATAGAGGGGTAATTTTGTCTTTTGATATGATTTAAGGCCTTGTTTGGATGGAATTTCAGAAAGGGGGGTGTCATTGTCCAAAAAATGAATAACTTTCCTCCATGTGTCCTTTTGTCAAAGGGTGTTGCTGTACTTTATTCAAAAATAAAAAGGATATAATTGAATAATGAAAAAGAGTTTCCTAAATTATTGAACACTCGTAACGCAGTTTTAAAAGGCTTTAAATTCTAATTTCATTCAAACATCTGAGCTAAATTTGGTAACCAGTAAAAGCACTTTTAATAGTAATCAAAGGCATCTAAACGCAATTTTTTCAAAATAAAAGTGCTTTTAAGAGAAGCAAATCCCATGTTATCACATATTGATATCGCATCCCATTTTAATATCAATTCTCTTTTTTTAATCTTACAAAGCGAAAATTGAGTTTCAAGCCCATATAGAAACACAATATTTATATATGATTGAAAACAAATCTATATAGACTTTTGTTTAATTTGATATAAATAAGAAGAATTTCTGTAAATAATAATATTTTCTTTGATCTTTCGTCTCATAAAAAATCATGAAGTATATAAAATGTTACAACTTTCATAAATAAAAATAAATAAAAAATCATTCTAACAAAATACATTATAGAATTTTTTTTCCCCAATAAATATATAAAAGAAATGTTATAAAAGAATCTCGCGTGAATTCACATATTCATAAGTTTTTCATGGTGTAGAATTTATAGATCTAATTATACTAAGATGATAAAAAAAAAATTTAAAATCATATTAAGTTAAGAACTTTTAAGTGATAATTAAAAGGGTAAAGTGTCGAGGGCATTGTGCCTCAGTGTATCTCTCTTGCCTTACAAAGTAGATATTGAGCATTCGTACCTTCAAAAAGTAGAGTGTGTGTGAATGGTGTGTTAATGACTAAGAAAGAAAAAAAAAAATTAATAAAAAAAAAAAAAAATAACTATTATATATCGAAAACTCCCCTAGCGTTCAAAAACCTGTTATATATTCCCCTAGTGTTAAAAAAATCCCCTACATTTTTCAAATTAAACAAATAAAAATATTTTATCAATTTAAAGATTAAAATACCTAAAACACCCTTAAGACCAAAAAAAAAAATAAAATCAATGATTATATTTTAAGGTTATATTGGTATTATAGAGTTTCATTAAAAAAAAAAAAAATGGTTAAAATTGACTGTCAATCAATAATAGAGAAAATGACATATTTTGAGCTGTTACAGATTTATATGCACTTAAATATCACATGTCAGAAGAAAAAAAATGTGTTTTTTTTTACAAAATTTTTTATCTAGCAAGGGTTTGTTGCACTTTACTCCAATTAAAAATTAAAAATTAAGTTTATGGAATGTTGATTTAAATATTTCTTCTTGTTTCTTTTAAAAATTATTTAGCAAATATTTTTTTTTCTTAGAGCTCATTTTAATAACACGCACCATTTAAATCCGTAAAATTAACCTCGAGCACTTACATTCAGTATCTCTGCCATCACCGATATGTCGGAAATAAACAAACGGTATTTGCCGGAGTGGGACTATTGTGTTGTATAATATTTGGCGCCAGGTCAATGTAGTATTGATGTTGTTGTTAAACCGTCAAATACCCACCCCCTGCACAATTCACGTGATCTGCAATTTGCGACATCCCAACGGCGACATGCATACCACAGGCGTACACCTCACCCACACCAAATCACCCGTCCCTTTCTTTCCTCCCTCCGTTTCTCTCTCTCTTCCTCTTCTCTCTTTCTCTCTAAAGTCTCACTCACTTTCCTTCCAACTAAAAAAACTCCATCAGAGAAGATGGGAGAGAAAACATGGCCGTCCCGATCGGACGGCCCTCATTTCACCGCACTTTCCATCACCGCTACCAAACAGCAATCCGACGTCACATCCAATCGATGCAGATTCAAATTCTCCACAAAAACCACTCGATTCAGTTCAAGATCATCGTCGCCGTCGTCGTCATCATCACCGCCCTATTTCTCGATGCTGCCGTACGATGTGTTGAGGAAGATCGCGGGGAGTTTCACTCATCCGGACCTCAAAACGGCGTCGCTGGTGTGCAGGTCGTGGAGGGACGCGCTTCGGCCGCTGAGGGAGGCGATGGTGTTCCTGCGGTGGGGGAAGCGGTTCAAGCACGGCAGAGGCGGAGTGAACCCTAATCTGAAAAAGGCTTTGGACTCCTTCTTGAAAGGTGCCGCTCGTGGGTCAACGCTGGCTATGGTGGATGCGGGACTGTTGTACTGGGACATGGGGAAGAAGGAGGAAGGGATGGCTCTGTATCGGAAGGCGGCCGAGCTCGGCGACCCCACCGGCCAATGTAATTTGGGGATTTCATATTTGCAAGGTAGCATTTTTGCAGATTTTAATGTTGCATGTTTGGTAGCATAGAATTCGCGCGTTGGAATTGGAAATGAAGGAAAATTAGCTTGAAATTCGAACTGATATAGTCCTCAGTTCCAATTCCAAAGCTTATTAGCTGTAATCTGACTTTGATTCATATTTGATTTCGCAATTTCACTTTTTGAATGGATAATTTTTTTTGGTAGCATGAAATTTGCGCACAGAAGGAAAACTAGTTTAGAATTTGAATTGATATAGTCCTCAATTCCAATTTCAAAGCTTAGCTTAGCTCTAATTTAACTTTGATTGATATTTGATTTTGTAATTTCACTTGTTGAAATTGATGTTGTGAATTGGGTTAGTAAGAATTGTTGTAGTAAGTTACTGTTGGGTATAAAATACCCAGTGTTCAGCACAACGGAAGCAAATAACAGACGGACACGGAGATCCGAACAACAAAGAATAGAAATAGCACAAATAAAATAAATAACACAATATTTAACGTGGATCAGCCTAACCTGGCCTACATTTCACAATATTTGTTGAGAGATATTACAATGGAAGAGGACATTACCCCCTCATGAGAAACTACACCGGTGTACACTAAACTTATGCTGAGCCTTATACATGTACCACTCCACGAGATCCCCGCTCGCCATCAGTGTTCTGCCCACTCTACCAAATATCACCATGGGTTGTGTGAGATGGAACGGACCCATGGCCCTCACACACCGATAACTACTCTCTATGAGGCTACATCTCTCTACTCTCTTTCCTTGGTGCACTGCACCTTTTTCTATTTTCTCTCTTCTTTCAACCCTTCTCCAGTTTTTCCTTCACAATTCATGCTTGTATGTATACACCTTGGGCCAACCGGCATAGCCTCCTTTTATGATTTTTACCATAGCACGCATTCATTACACCTAGTGTATCTGTTTCAACTTTTCATCTTCCACAGTTTCACACATTGTGCACCTCTTATCTTTCATACACAGCACACCCACATTTAAAACTTTCTTATGTTTCTACCCCTACTGTGTGGGCGCCATCACCTTTGTCCTTTTTTTTTCTTACAACACACACATATATCTTGCACCACACCCACGTACATTTATTACACCCACGTACATATAACGCACACATATATATACTCACTAATACATTTGACTCTGCATTCTTTTACCTGTGGGTGGAAATCCCAACAGTTATGATATTGCATTTGATCTTCTAAAGAGGTGAAAGTTATAGTGGTTTGATTTGTATTGCACCAAAATTTGTTGCTTGGTTTGCACAATCAAGCTGTCCTTTTGGTTAGGATGGTTTTGGAGTTATTTCGGCTGAATGTCAATTGTGGAATGTGGGGACTGTGTAGAGTAGTGAAGTGATTTAGAATGTGACTGCTTTGCCAAATAATTCTGTTTGATTTTGCTAGTAGGAGAGAGTTCTTTTATGTTAGTTCAACCTTTCTTCTACTTATTTTCTTCCTGATTTACTAACACTCCTCCTCGCTCTTCTTCAGTGTTGAAAATCAAATTGATCTCATTTACTTTATTTTTTTGCATAATTGGGATGTGGTAATATTATAAATACGGAAATTCTATCTCATTTCTTATGCACCCATTTATTCTCTTCCATCTTCATCTCTGCTGAACATAAGAATATAGATTTCTTCCTCCTTTCAGTCCTTTCATTTATATGGGTCATACCTTTTGGTATCATTTACTTTGTCTTTTAGAAGTAACACTACTTTTAAGAGGGGCAATTAATGTACATTCTTTATAGAACAAAATAGGCACTGCCTATAACTTCCCTTCAAGCAGATATGCTAAGAAACCTTTAGGAACCATCAAGGTTGATTACGAGGAGCATCATTGTTTGTCCAACATGTATATGATTATTCTACTCGATGGTAACGTGGTAACATTAATAATATTTGTCGTATTTCCTCTGAGGAAAGCAAGAAGTTGCGTATTCTTTATTAGTGTTTTTAATAGTCTTCAACATCATTCATTATTATGTCATGTGAGAATGAGTCTTTTTGACTGTTATCTTGTATACAGCCGAACCTCCAAATACAAAAGAGGCCATCAAATGGTTATATCAGGCTTCATTTGCGGGCCATGTTCGTGCTCAGTACCAACTTGCGCTGTGTTTGCATCAAGGCCGTGGAGTGGATCAAAATCTACCAGAAGCAGTATGTGGTGTTCCCCAAGTCTCTTCTTTCTAAATGAACTCTTTGTTCAAGGACACAATTTGAAATTATGTTACTTTTGCATTTTGCTATTAGTAATTGGATTTCCATCTCTTAATGATAAACCATCGGTACCAACTACTTTGATATCACTAGTCTTTGTTGGCTATTGTACAGTGTACAAATCATTTATGCATGAACCTTGTTATGAATTGAATATTATCTTGGCTCTTTATTGATGTACCTCCATCTGATTATGAACGACTTGGTGTAAAGTCAGTCCTGTGTAGTTTGAAATATTAGGCTTTGTTGAGTAGGCACTGTTTTTTTAGTTGTTGATGTTGATATCCTAGTGTGAACTTTCCTACTGATACCTTTTATCTCGACAGGCCAGATGGTATCGGAGAGCTGCAGAAGGTGGGTATGTGCGTGCTATGTATAATACGTCTTTATGCTACTCCTTTGGTGAAGGTCTGGCGCAGAGTCATCGACAAGCAAGGAAATGGATGAAGCGGGCAGCTGATCACGGTCACAGTAAAGCTCAGTTTGAGCATGGACTTGGTCTCTTTTCTGTATGTACTATACACAGCATTTTAACTGACATTTTTGTAATTTCACTAGGGATTATAGGAGAATATAAGTGCACCTGAGTCCATATATTAATGTACATTGTACACATTATATATCTTCATTCATTTAGGTTTAAGATATGGTGCAGAATCTGATGAGACTGTTGGAACTACTTGGACAGGAAGGGGAGATGATGAAGGCTATAGTCTACCTGGAGCTTGCCACCCGAGCAGGTGAAAATGCTGCAGCTCATGTCAAGAATGCTGTACTCCAACAACTGTCGACGACTTCGCGTGATCGAGCCATGAATCTTGCCGACAATTGGCGTGCCTTGCCTTCTTCTCGCTGAATTGTATAGAATCACGACTTTATAGACACTCACTCTGCGCTTTTTGGTTCCCGTTGTCTCTCCTCAGTATGGTCCTTTTCTTTATCCCCCTTTTCTCTATCTGATGAGAAAAACAGTGTATGTAAATCAAATATCATAGTTTAGTCGTTAAAGATGTTGATAATGCTTTGTAATTTTCTTTGAAACTGTATTATGATTGCTTCTGTCAAGCGAGTCAAGGTTGTGTGCTGTATTTAGGACCCTCTTGAGTCTGTACATTACATAAAAGCATACGAGTGTTTGATTGATCTTTATGCTGACCCAAGGAATGTGTTGTGTACAAGTAATAGACTTGTAATTATCAAAATATATGCCACCCCTGAAACTCACTTTGAAATTCTTTTTGATGATCAAACACTAGAAGTGAAATCAAACAGCCATAGTAGTCACAAGAACTGTTGTGATTATTTATTTAATTTAAATTTTTTTTTTTTAATGTCACAATTATTAGCTGTGAAAGCGAGTATTGAGGAAAAATAAAATGCTTTGGGGTGCGCTTGGTGAGAATGAATCCAAACAAAGTGAATGAAAGTAAAATAATTTTTAAGAAAATTGTGGGAAATTATTATTCCGTAGTTTGAACAATATGAAAGTTACAGTAATATGAAATTATTTTTTTATAAGTTTAAATCAATTTGTCAATGAAGCTAGCTAACCTTCAAAAGTTCTATCACCGCAGAATTTAATCTCATGCAATTTCAAACACAAAAATCTGCCCCCCAAAACTACTTGAGCTGCCACATATAGCAACATTAGAGGCTGATGTCCGCTGAAGTTCAGTATACATTAGATGATGACATAATTTAGTTTGTAGAATAAATCATTCCCAAATATTTACGAGGGCAAGATTCAAACTATGTTATAGTCTGACCATACTCTTGTGACATTTTTTTTGGTCCTCTATGGAAAGCAAATGGAAGAATGAAGAATAACCATAATGTACACAAAATTCCGAGGATGGTTTGATTTGTGACCAGGAGACAATATTCATGTCATATAAGAACACTCCAAGGATGGTTTGATTTCCTTTTTGACAAAAAATCAAGAATGGACTAAAATCAATAATCGAGCTGAAAGTTCAATGAAGCTAGCTAACCTTCAAAAGTCATGAGCAATTTCCTAAATCAAGCAGGAGACCACCGCTCTGTCAACTCCTAAAATTTTGTTCTAATCTTTTTTCCTTGCTGATATGGCGAGATACGAGTGCCCAGTAGATTGTCCGCTTAGAATTTCACTAGTGAGGGCTTCCTCGGGATCTGAAAAGTACGAGGGTAAGTAAAGAAAAAGCTAAAAAATGCTTAATTTGTGATGTATCTAATGGACTCGAATAAGAGATTAGTCAGTGTCATATGATCTGATATTAATTATCTGGCTTTATAAAGTAATTCTGAAACATAAAATTATCTGGTTAAATTTACCCAGGTATGTGTAGTAACTAATGTAGGTCCGAGTTGTGATTTCTATCTTCCCAAGTATGATGACCTTCCTGAAATTCATTTGACATAAACTCCCATCTAGTACTTCTGAATTTCAACATACTAAACAGCTAGTATGATCATAGATGAGGATAGTCTGATATTTTAACAAATTAAACTACCTAACGAAAGTGTAAATACGTTGATTTAAACCATTGAATTCTGTAATCTAGAGGTTATTCTGGTCAACATCAATGGGCTCTCTTAATGTGGATTTTGTACCTACTCAATGCTTAATGATCCTGCTGTAATAAGTCAATTTCATCCCTCAAAGTACTTCGGCAACCATACAAATTGCTCTCACAAGAAGACTTTTGAGTTTATCAACAACGAGGTCCATTGTCTATTGAATTCAGAAGATCACAAATTAATTACGACCTGTAAGATGCATATTTGTGGGGACTTGTAAAATAGCAAGACAAGACTGACATAGATAGAGAGAGCCAAAAAAAAAGAAAAAAGAAAAAATCATTCATCCAGACACATTCTGATTTAACTTTGTGAATTGGAAGTTCGCCCCTGTATACCACCTTGAACATTTTCACCCCCTTAGTATCTTGGTTATTTCAATTTGTATTCGGTCTTTCAAAAGACATCTCCACTAGTTGCTTTTATTCGTTACTTGGCTAAAGTATTTTTAGATTAATGGAAACAATTCTTTACCCGCCCCTCCTTAAATGCAATGGCAATACTTAATTACTAGGCTACAATGATTTTGCTTCTCTTTGTAAAGTTTTGTGGTCCATCAAAACAGTTTTCATCATTTTTTTTTCTTAGTATCAGTTGTTTAAATGTTGCTTTAGTCTTTCAAAAGACATCTCCATCAGTCTCTTTCATTCCTACAGAGTTTTTGGATCAATCGTCAATGCCAACAATTCTTAACCACCTCCATTTCTTAGATTTGATGGCTTTGCCTTCTCTTTGATAAGTTTTGTGGCCTGTCAAAAAAGTATTTCACCTAATGGGATGTCAAACAACAGCTATCAATTTGAACCCACTGTAGGTATAATATTTCTCGAAATGGATTAATGAACTCTTTATTATAACCAAATTTGGCATCTATGAAAGGTATTGCTGATGGTTTATGCAAACCAAAGGAATACTAGTAAATAACTATCAACTAACAAAAGTGAGCAGTGCTATCGGTTAAGAAAATAACTAGAGCACTGTGAAAAATTCAGCATGATTGCAAAAGTGAATGACTAAAACAACCTCAAGTACCCATACCTTTAATGACCGAAGAAGCTGAAACTGTCATAGGTCTTCAAGTCCTAGGCAAACAATTTCATCTGTTATCGAATGTTGCTCTATCACTGGCTCTGGGAAGAGGTGCCCAAATCATTTAGAACCAACACCACCAAATATTAACAGCAATCACTAAACAAACATTTATCAAATAAGTTTGTGTTAAAACAGCTAAAATAAAGGAGGAAACAAGCTATACTTGTTGACCCTGATACTATAATAGCAATGATTATCTGCAAGTAGAAAAGCAACATCGGTACCACTCACCACACATTTCAAGTGATACAAAATTACAACGGATAAAACCAAATGTGCAGACTAACCAGAGAGGAATATCTATTGACATGGAAAAAAGAATACATAAAGAACTTGATTTTCCATAAAACAACATATCAACCACAATATGAGCAGGAAACAGGGTATGTGAACATTTAATCTTTCTTAAGATAATGTATTACTCCTTTGTCAGAACACCAATTAAGATGAACAATAAATATTCAATATTGAGCAACAATATGCCTTTCTATTAACCATTCCTTTCCTCTGATCAAAATGTATCAACCTCGTCCAAGTATAATACAACTACATACCCACCATATTGGACTCATTTCTCATCATGGGGAATAAGACTGCCTTTGAGGAAGGACATCGGTATGATATATATTTAGGTGGTAGATTGCCTGGGGTACCAATTCTCTCAACTCAGGATGGGTGACGACTGCACGGTCAGCCCCCTCAAGAGCAGTTAACACTCTTGCTTGTTTCAATGCCTCATTGTTGCCAGCATGTAATGCAAGGTAGCATAGGAGAACCAGTCCATACAACAGTGACCTGTCATTGCCTCTCAGCAGTCTCATCAGAGGCGGGACACCATTGAACTCGATTATAGTCTTAGAATGCTCCGCACAAAGAAAATTATCCGGACAAACAAACTTCCCGAGTGATATGGCAGCTTCTGTAGCCACATCTTGGTTCCTATGGCTAAGCTGCTCGACCAGGGGACCAATGACACGGGTCTCCCTAGCCGGGAAGGTCCGAGCCAATGAACCAATGGACTTTATCGCCGGAATTCTCAGTGTTGGACTGTCTGACTCCTTGATTATCCTTAAGAGCTGATCAACAACAGCCTTTGCAGCAGGAGAGTTGGTCTTGAAAGCCGCCCTTCTGAGGTCAGCATTGTATTCAGCTGCAGCTGTTATCTCCATTAACGTCATCAAACAATTAAACTGCAATTCCCCAGATTCCTTCTCAACAAGTTTAGCCAAGCAAAGCAACCCTTTTGTCTCGGTTATTCGTCTACTATTCGACACACTACCTTTAGCAAGCATCCATAAAGCCTCGGCACAAGTGATTTTCAACTCAAGCTTCACTTGAGGCTTCTCACTCTCTCTCTCTTTCCTATGATGCCCTCCTCCTCTACTACTACCCTCAGAATGCAATGATAAAGACGAATTCGAATGTGGTTTGTAATTAAATGACATTAATGAATTCCTCTCCATCTCCTTATTAATCTGAACAAGAGAATGAATGCTTTGCTTACCATATTGAAGGTTAGTAGTATCATCCACAAAAGTCTCAAATGACAACAAAGTCACAAGTGGTCTGATTGCATTTTCTCTAGCAAAATCCTCTTGAGCAAATGGGTCGTGCTCTGCCATTCTAGCAACCAAATTCGCCACCCGAATTTGAACTCTCATCGGAGAATCACCAAGAACCTGAACTATAATCGGAACACCAAGTTCGTCGGCGATTGAATGGACCCTTTCTTGATCATTAGCCAAGTTGAGAAGCGCCGTCGCCGCGGCGCTTTGGGCCTCCGGTGAGGTGTTCTCTTTCAGGAGCTTCAAGAGTGGGGGTACGCCACCTTCTTCGTCGATGATCTTTTTGTTCCGATCATTGTCTTTGGCAAGCGAAGCCAGTTCATTCGCAGCCTCTATTCGATCATTCAATTGACCGGAGTGAATCGAAGCAATGAAAGACCAAACCCAAGAGAGAATAGGATCGTTACTCGCGATTGGGGGCATAGAGAGAACAATACCTCCTCCGCCACTACTGGACTCGAAGATGCTGAGCAGCCACTTCATGTCGCCGATTGAGGCGTCGAGGAGGGTGGTGACTTTCCGGAAATCCGCGGCGGAGACGATGGTGACGACGCGGCGGAGGACGCTGCGGCGCTTGCACTTCCGGACTAGGGTTAGGGCACGGTCGAGGTTCTTCGACACGTCGGCGACGATGCGGCGGATGGGGCGCTCGTAGAGGGAACCGGTGGAGGTGGCGAACCGGGCGGCGGCCCAGATCATTGTGATGAGGCGGTCAGCTTGTTTGCCGACTTCGGCGCAGTCGACCTTGAACGACTCGGCCTCCTCGGCGGCGTGGCGGACTCGCTCCGATAAGTCAATCGTAAAGGAGAGGACTTCCTTGATTTTGTTCTCTTCGGTGGCCATGGAATCGATCATTCGATTGGAAACGAACCCAGATGGGATTGTTGTTCAAATTGTGAATTGAAACTCGAAAGATTGCGACTTTTTGGTTGTTCGAGGAGTCAAACGGTGGTGGGTTGTGTTGGAGTTTGATTGGTGTTCATGGTGGTCAGAATCGATTAGAGTCGTCGTCGTCGTCTTTGGTATCGTCAGTTTCATGGCAGGTTTGGTTTGCCTGAGATTTATGCGGATTTAAGACCAGACACCAGTATGTTTGTGTGTTTGGTGGGAATGGGATTCTTGACAACAGATTAAAAATTACAGTAACATTTTCACTTCTTCAAAAAAGACTACTGTGTAACTGTACTACTCAGAGTCCAATTATATTCTAATAATAGAATTAAATTAAACTAAACTTTTGAACTTTCTAGAATATCAATAATATTGAAAAATGTTTTTTTTTACTCTGACAAGAAAACATAAAATCATCAAACAAACACATCGGGAAGATATAACAAAATCATTGGGCAAATATAGAAGATCGAAAACACATAAAGTACCATTTCAAACCAACTAAAATTTTTTATAGTCAAGATCAACAGTTTTGACAAGTCAAAGAAAAGGTACCAATTATATAAAGTAAATCACCGCAACAAAATTTTAAATAAAAAAAAAATGTGTTATTTCAAGAAATAATTTTATTATATTTTTTAAACTATTTATTTTTCTTCTTTTTCCTTATTTATAAAAGGTAAAAGTTATAAGAAAATTCAATAAAAGTTAGCAAGACTTATCCAAATTAATCTTTTCTTTTTTAATTGTCATGAAATTTAAGTAACGGGAGAGAATGAGAGATTTAAAATTTACACTCAAGACATAGAAAGCTCCTGGAAAAGACTGATCGTAGTTGACGATTAAAAGGTGGTCTTTTTTTCTTCCACGCGTCGTTTTGTTGAACCCTTATTTACGTTACTATTGAGACGTGCTTTACATGCGCTTTTAGGTAATAAAACGTACGTGTTACGCACTTTCATTAAAAGAGCGTGATTGACAATTAACCAACTGCTATATCAGTAAGTGCGTTTTAATGCAACCAATTAGGTGCTAACCAAATATTTAGAAATTGACAATTCAGCACTTGTTGTACTAAGGAGGCAAGACATTTCATGAACCACGGTTTTTAATAAGATTAGAGTACGACAATTTCTCAAGAAATTAAATTAAGCAATAAATGTGATACAAAGTTTGAAACTTGAACATAATTGACGATAAGACATTTTTAATTATAATGATATATCTTCCCAATTTCGAAGATGTTACATTGAAGATATGTGAGTGAAAATATAAACTCTACAACATGTCCCGGCCTGGCATGATGTATAACTCATAATAGTGATTGATTAGAGAAAAGAAAGTGACTGATTCATGACACTATGACAAGACATTTCTAATTATAATAATACATCTCCTCAATTCCCAAGATGTTAAATTGAAGATATGTGAGTGAAAATGTGAACTACACCGCATGACTTAGATATCTCATATGACTCATAATAATAATTAATTGGAGCCAAAGAAGTGATTGATTGGAGCTGTAGGGCTCATGATAGTGATTAATTGGAGCCAAACAAGCTCATAATAGCGATTGATTGAAGCTAAAGAAAGAATCAAAGACCGTATAATAATTTCCCGTGAATTCAAGACTTACCCATCTTGTTCTTAACTTGGTTCATCCCTCCTAAAGTTGAGAGAGAGTTTGGCTTTGGAAGGTTGTTCTGTACCCTCGTTTCTTTGTTTGTTATATATGTATGCACTTGGTGAATTATCAATGCAATATTATTCTAAAAAGTGACAATAACATTATTGCTGAGCTATCTTGAATTATATATATATATATATATATATATAAAGAAATGGATTGTGGAGGAGAGACATAGAATTAATTTTTTAGACAACAAAAATAGGCGTGTGACAAGGAAAAACATCTCGATCTCTCTTACGCACACACACCAACACCAAAAGCCCCACATTCATGCACATACATAAACCCTAACTCTTTGACATCGTTCTTGTTGCATTTCACAGATTTGAGAACAAGAATTCAACGAATTTGTAATTTTTAGAATAGTGTCAATAGCAATTCTAGTTCATACAACCAAGAAAAAAAGTCATTTGAGACAATGGATTATTTGTAGACCGAACATGCACTCAATTTTAAAGCTTCGCAAAAGCTCGATTATTTGACATTCTGTAATACAAACTGAGAACTGCACTTGCCTTCTAAAGCTTTGCAAGCAACCCATTGTGGATTGTCTTTGTCACCACCCCATTCTCCTTCACATCCGACTCGCATGAGCTAGGAGGAACATCCACCGCCGGTGAGCAATTAAAAAATCCATGCGGCTGCACCAAGAACAGCAAAAAGATCGGGATTTAGTGACGATCTTTGTCACGTTACCAAATTTAAATAAATGGCATTTACATTAGCATAGATATTCTAAACTCGAGTATGTGCAGCAAAACAGAACTCTCTGGATGCTTAAATGTTGGCACTCATTAGGTTCACCATAGCACAATACAAATGTGGTAATGTCAAATGTCAGGATCGAAGCACAATACCATGAGCATGAAACCAATGTGTTCCACCGGCATGACAGGCCAGTCTTCCAGCCGAGGAATGTGTGTCACTCCGAATACATACCTGACAGAACAAAGATGGAAGTCAGTAGTTACCTAGAGATAGCAACTTTAAGCCTACTACATTCATGTGCATACAATGGAAAAAGTACCATAAATCGCAACAGATATGTACAGACAAGGATAGACTAACCAAAGAACTATGTCAGCTTCTTCCAGTGATCGGTTCTGCTTAACCCAAGTAGATAGTCCCTCTGCAACACGGGGATTTTGATTAGGAAACTCTCCTCCAGGATACATCTCATCACGCGCATAAGGTGTGACCCAAATATTATGCTTCAGGAAAGCAGCTCTTCTCAAAAATTTCGCCTCTGCACCAGCTAATGGTAAACAATTTGATCCGGGTACTAGCTTGTAACCGGTTAACTGTCCAGTGCGATTGACATTTCTTGTGTTTCTGATCTGAATTACAAATAGCACATTAAAACTATGCAATTAGTACCAACTCATATAGTTTAAAGAATGGGAAATTATCCACCTTGAACATAGAATTAGAAAACAGAAGCAATTAACTACGCATCACAAGAAGCAAATCTAATCACGAATCATTATAGAAAGGACAACACATAATAAAACATCACACAAATATGCTTTTTCTTGGAAACTAGGATATGTAAATCGCATAATAACACATTTGTGATGCTAGGGAAGGACACAAAACAAAATATAAATGACACCACCCACTATCTCCCTGGAAAACAAACACCAAAGCACCTTCTTATTTATCAAAACACACTATAAATATTATATGCTCCAAGATTCCATAATTAGCTCATTCATAGATACACACATAGTTGTGTATATACATGTGCATGTATGTATAGTTCCAGGCCATAAAGATGATGTGGTACGGGTACCTGAGGTTTTCCTTGAACCAAAAGTGCAGATTATTATGATATCAACCAAGTTACCAACCCAATAGCAGTCAACTCTCTACTAATTAATAATCATGGAAAATGAGAAATGTTAATAATTAATAGAATTATTAGGTATTAGATTATCTCCATAAGAAAGTTCTTTAATCTTCTCAAAGAAAAAAAGCCAGACATATCTTTTTGATAATATATCCAACACTTTACTCAAGGAAAATGGGAAACGAAAAGAATATCACTTAAAGAAATTAACTAAAATGGTAGCAAGTTAAGGAACTCGTCTTTATATTTTAACCAAACCATGAGATATGTGAAAGAAGTAATAAACTTTCTTATAAATATATATCAATTTTTTAAAAAAATACAAAACATATCAAAGAAAAATTAATTGTAAGTAAAATTATCAATAACTAAACACTATTGAACCAACTTGGTTCATAATGGGGTATGGACAATATTAACACAAGATCCGTAAACTCTACCTGATAGGGGGTGAATAAATCTTGCATGATTTTAACTACTTTTAACCATTTGTTGAGTTCTAACTATCTTTCTGAAAATTCAATTTAAATTAACACTAAATATCAAGGTATTCAAGTAACACTAAGAATCAAGTACCAATAAATCCATCATGACAATCATAACAACCATTCAACCAAAAGCAAATTAATACAGAATAAAACAACACAGTGGACACGAAGATTTTTTTACCTGAAAAATTCCAATAAGGAAAAACCAGTCAAATTAAAATCTAGTATATGAAAGAAATATTAGACTAGGTTAACACTTTAAACCACAGAACCCATAGTTATTTCTTGACACAAATTGATCCATTGAACTTGAGCAGAGTCTCGAGGCAAAAAGTATGCTCTGTCAACAGACTTTGCTCCTCAAGAGTCTGCTTCTTTAATAGCAATCCTAATCTCAAAACTAATCGTCCACTCCAATCTTGGTTGATTGAGTTGTGTGTTGGTGTTGAACTCTTCAAATCAGCTCCACAACAATTTAGATGTCGACGCGCTAATATAACACTACACTCACCAATTTGATGTATATGATTGATGAATGCTTAAAGAAAAATATACGCACTCTAATATGCTCAAAATATCTCTAGCTTCCAAATCTCTGTCTCTTATGGTTTATGACATGATAGAGTATTTATAGACAAAACAAAGTTTTTAGAGTGGTTCGATCAATGGTTCGATCAATGGACATGCATCAATGGACATGCATCCAGTAGTCTTCGGTTGATCTGTTGATGACCAAAATGCTCTGCATTTCCACATCTAGAAAATTTTCCAGCAAGTTAGTTTCCTAAAACACTTTTATGCAATCCAATTAGGATTTTTCAAATCAAAAAATGAAATCTAAAAACACTAATGCATGTACCCTAATTTTTTGTACAATAATACTTCAATCTTGTCTATATGAGAAAATGGAAACTTCTTACAATCCACATGGCTGATTCCACACATTGCTTGTTGAGTGACCATTTTCACGAGATAAGAGACAAGTTAAAGCTGACAACTCATTTTTATAATATGTGATATAATAAAATCAAGAAAATAGTGTCACAAATTGTTCAATAAACAATCACACATGCACTCATGCAAATAAAAATATAGAGACAAAGAAATAAAAAGCGAAATTATTAAGGGAAGAAAGAAAAAGGCAAAAATTCAGAAAGGTTAAAGAGCCTTACAATCCAATGTCGGGCAGCTAAAGGATTACAGTCACGCATTGCTTCAAGCTCAGATCTGAGTAGTTTCTCTTCAGCATAGAATGCATTGTTATGAACATTGTTATCTCCTGGTTCATCAACTTTAACATCCACCTCCACAACCTATAAACAAGGAAGTGTGTGTACTTTTACTGATCAGCCAGGAAAATAAATTAATTGTTGCTAGTAGATCGACCAACAACCAAAATTAATTGCACCTGATCAGCCGGGAAAATAAATTAGCTCAAATAAATGTAATACTCTACTTTTTCCTTCCTCTGGGTGACGTGTATCTAAAATTAAGGGATGTTACTGACATGATCCAAAAATATTTAACAATATGTAGTAGTCACTTATTTTATGACAACACATCTTGGTTAACATTAATCTCATGTGAGGGATAATATTACACTATTAAAGATGGTGCACATTGAAAATTTGACCACTTATATACAATTAAAAAGCAAGATCAAATTGCAGCTATGTTACTCAAATGAAAAGCAACTAGTTGTTTAATTACATTAACTATAAGGAGAATCCTGGACAAGTTGCAGAATTGCCACTGATCTTTTCAGAATCCTAATGCATGACTTGCACAACAAAGAATATATCATAATCTTTTATAAAGTTTCCCTATCCTCCATGCTACTGTTACTAGTGTGATAGGGTTCTTTAAACAACTGATATAGAATTATCAGAACGCCTATTCATCAGGCATACAGCCTGCCAGCTCATTACTTAACTCTGTTAGACCAAGTTGAAGCTTTTAATAACTCCAGTAATCAAAGAACTCTCAACGAACCAATGGGCCAGTGGCCTAGCGGTATAACCTCTCCTCCCTCAACGGAGGAGGGAGGGGTTCAAGTCCTGTCATGAACATTTGTGTGCATGTGTGTGAATACTTACCTGGCCAAAAAAAAAAAAAGATCTCTCGAGGAAACACATACTCTTTACCATAAATAAAAATAACAGTTAAAAGCAACAATTGGTATAATAGTAACTAGAATATGTTTACAAAGAGAGAGAGAGAGAGAGAGAGTGTGTTAGCATATATGATAACACACACACACACACACACAGAGAAGGAACATGTCAAATTAATAACTAATTCTCCAGTGATGATGCCTCTAAGAAAATTGCTTTATCAATAAATAAAAGGGGAATAGAAAATTGATTATAACTAAGAAAGAACTGATACAATGTAAATTTTTGGTTTCAGAAAATGACAGAAAAAGGTGATTATAACACCATGAAGAAACAAATAAACAACATAAGCAATGTTGAAAACCATAAAACCAACCATTACCAGTTAAAGAATAGCAAACAACAAAAAGAAGATCTAAATAATTGAGCAAGTTTACCTGATTATGTGCTTCACCAGGCTTGCAATCAACTGCCATGTCCATACGAGCAACAAAAAAGTGTTGATGGACTGGCGCATATAATCCAGGCGCAATAGTTGTCCCATATTTTCGAACTTCACCAGGTTGCAGAGCTCCTAAGCTGAGAATTCCTGTGAGTCTAACCTCAGCTTCAATTTTTCCATCCTGTAACAAGAAATAGTATAACATTTCTTGAAGATTACAATGTCAAATCAGAAGGTCAAAATACAGCAGCAGTAAACCGTAGCAAGTAACTCAAATCAAAACAACAAATGTATCTGTTGTGACACCAGGACAAGCCAATATACTCATTAAGACAGCAATTAAGCCTCAACAAAGTGCCCAGTGGGCTCTCTAACATATTAGGATATTAAGTTGCGGTATAATAGGGAGTAATATAGTCAATTGAAGCAAGAGAAGCACAATAGCTTTCACATAAAAGAAGGCACTCACACACTTGCCTGATAAAAATGCCAAAAGAATCCATACTCATAATTAGCCACAGTACATACGAAAGACACAGTTAATCTTCTTGACCTCCGGACTTCAGCTAAACCTGTTCTCCAGTCTTGATGCTTCCATAAGATTCCATGATCCTCTTCATGCAAACACACACAATTTTCAATTGTTTCAATACCTCCAGTGAAATTTGTAAAGTGTGCATCAAAGTATTTGATATAGCCCAAACAGTCACAACCCTGCAATATGAAGTAATGGTGAGCAGAATTTTTCTTTTTGAACCCAAAGAAGTGCAATATGTAAATAATCGTACAAAATAAACATTCAAAAAAATAAATAAGAAGTTCTCTGACCTTCTTCAGAGAATGAGCATTTTTGCCAAGCCCATCTTCACCAGCATCAAATGCATTCTTCCTGTAATGGGGATCATTTGGATCTCCATAAGGGACCACCATCTCAACAAAGCTTAACCTATGGGCCACCGGTCTTCGTCCTCGACTACCATCAACATATGCAACAGAATAAATAATCAAACCCTCCCTGGGAGTGAAGCCAATACGGAAATTCCACTGCCAAAAAAAGAAAGAAAAAAAAGAAAGACAAAAGAAAGAAGAAAGAATGAAAAAAGAATATTTCATAAGTACTGGAAGTATAAGAGTTGAATGTAGTGAGATCTATCAGTAATTTTTATTCCACAAATAATCAAGCACCTTCTGCCATTCAACAAAATGCCCATCAACACGGAAGCTTGGACCTTCAGGCTGAATAATGTGTAGGGGTTTCACATCACTACGATCAACACCTCCCCGTGTTTCACCAGGAGTGTAATTTCTTAATGGGTCAGCTGGAGGTAGGGGAACAAGTTTACGGTCTTCAAACTCAACAACAACCATATTTTGCATATCAACTAGTACATAAATTCCTTCAACTGGACGAGCATAACCATTTTCCATAGGACAGTCACTCTCAGTTCTACAGAAGATAAGTGGTTTAGCAAGTCTGCGGTTAGGTGCATCAGCTTCACTGTGATAACCAACACACCTGGGAAGGAATTTGCAGGACAAAGCATAAATAAGAGTGCAAGAAATGCATAAAGATAAGACAAGATATTCTGAAAGTAACAAAATGAAGAAACTAACCAGGGATCTACCATCACAAGATCCATATCCTCAATACCCCTTTTCTTCATTGCATCCCGAAATGGTGGGAAGTCTTTTACAACAGCTTCACATTCGGCATATTCCACAGCATCCTGTGATTTCAAAAATTAAAGAAGAGTACGAACTGTTTGACATGAATACTATAGAGAGTTAATTTTGTTGCCAAGCAGATGTCCGAATAGTACTTGCAGTTAGGGTTTTTTTATTTTTGGGTGATTTGGATGTATGTATTACGTATGCATTTGGGTGCATGTGTCTGTGTGGGCGTGCAAGTGTATGCATGTGGGTATTTGTGTGTGTGTGTGTGTGTGTGTGTGTGTGAATGTAAAGTGTGCATGTGTTTATTCTCAAGACCCTTTCAATCTGTCAAGTTCAAATTTTACAATTAGTGAAAAAGAAAATCATATTATGTTTGTTTTATAGCATTATTTCTTCTAGATTAAAAATATAAGATCCTAAAATAAAGTTCATCTTACCATCAGGTTATTCAAACACTAAATTTCCTCTTGCTGAAATGAGGCTAATGATATTTTCGGTTAGATACTGTTTGAAAATTAGAATTTATTACTCAAGAAAGAAAAAAATTCAACATGACATTTAGAAAATAAAAACTATTACCATTGGAGGCTGTACGTCGGGTACAACATTGGATGAAATCACTTTGCCCCTGTGGTGACCACCTCGAGTAACAGCATGAACTTCTGATAGTTCAACAATCCACACACTCGTCTCATTCGACTTTTTGTTGTAAACAACAAGTCTAGCTTGCCTAGGAGGAAGTTTACTGGGAATATGAGCTCCACCCTTCGTTCTAGGTAGTAATGATGGCTGGAAAGGAGGAAAAAAATATGCATCTGCTAGTGCAACCACATTTTTATCTGGTTCCAGCAAAACCACCTCAATGAACCGCATGCTATCTCTCACCTAAACATATTGAAAAAACTTCCATATTATGCTATAATCTAAACCTATTTCAAGAAAACATAACTGTAATATAAATAACCACCTCAGGAGTTGCTCCAGCAGCCCTGACAGTAGCCACAGCCACAGATATTTCAGCAGCAGTCAAAGGGTCCAAAGGGTGGCGGCTTTGAGCCCTTAACATGATTGGGATACCTGCAACTTTAGAGAAACAAATTTATTAACATGACAGAAACTATGCAATCCAATCTCTTTCATAATCAAGGGGGAAAAAAACAATCAGGCAGTAACAATGCTTCCAATACTTCGTTGGATGTATGAGACATCGTTCACTCTTTATAGTGGTCTCTACTGAAAAAAAAGTAGTCACAATGAATCCTCTCGTAATAGGAAGCAATAATGAAAAATAAAAAAAGAAAACAAACTACTAAAGCGACCCAAAAACAATGGTTTGGTTCGGGGATGGAGTTGTGTGTGTGTTTGAGTGTTTAAAGGCTTATTCCCTGAAGAATTGAGTTTTTGTGTTTTTACGAAACCTAATACAAGAACACCAACAGGAATCATGATCTCATTTTCTTTTCTTCTCCTCTGTTTTCTCAGCAGCCAACCAACCCCCAAAGACAGTTGCTTTCTCAATTCCAAATGATCATGCATACTAGCATTCATATTGAAAAGGGAAATTTCAATAATCTATCAATTATATATCTACACACACAACTATAGCTTACTTGGTTGAGCATTTTACAATTATCAAAAGAATAAAACAACAAGAATCATAATCTCATTTTAATAAATCAAGATCAATCATTAATTTATTAGAAATTATACAATTATTAGCTTACTTGGTCGAGAATTTAATGATTATCAAAAAGATAAATAACAAGAATCATAATTCATTTTCTCTCATAAACATAATCGTTACTTTGTCCTTAATAAATCAAGATCAATCATGTAATACTAGTATTAGAAATGGAACAGAAAACAAGAACTGTAGATGAAAAGAAGTATACCTTTTGCCGAAGAAGTAGTTGTAGAAGGTTGTGGAAGAGGATCAACAGGACGAATCAAGCTCGCCACGGAAGCTCTGTTGCGGTGGATCTGATCGTCGGCGGCGGGATCGGAGGTCCGGACGCTCCAATCCTGCAAGACGTCCGCCGCGGCGGTGGCGTTGCGGTGCAGAGGCGTCGCTTTTTCCGTAGCTGTGGCCATTGCAAAGGGTTTGCGAGCTCACCGTAACCGCCGTAGTACTTGTCACTGTAATACTCCACTGACATACAGCAGTTTCTCAGACCAAACACTTCACTTCCACACTCCACCGCTCCTTGCTACCTTTCTGTCACTTTCTCGAGAAAATAGTCCAACAAACCGAAGTGGACGGGGAGTGAGGAGCGAGGTGAGCTACAAATGGCTGTTGTGACTTGTGATTTTGAAGTGTCGACTGTGTGTTTGTGTGTGAATCTGTATAGATACAGCGGGTGCTTGGTGCGGTTTATATAGAAAGGGATTGTGGGGATATCTTTACGCTGGTCTATATCGTCTGCGGTAAGTTGCATACAGCGGATCAAAATCATCCACTGACCATATAGTTTTTTTTTATTTTTTTTCCTTAACTTTACCGCTTTAAATAATAAATTTCACCCTTATGATGGTTAAATTTCATCATTTTAAATTAAGTGAAATTCATCATTGGTAAAGTTTAAAATATAAAATCAGGTTGTGATAAATGAGTGATGTGTCTGAATTTAAGAGGATTTTGATATGCTAGGCATCGATCTTTAAGAGGATTTACTTAGCGTTACCTGACATATTAGCATTAGTGCAAGCTGATTCATTTTGTAACGATGTTTGTAATTGTGCCACATTAGTTGTAATGTCAAGTCACCTACCACTTCAATTGCCATGTCATTAATAACGTTAGTATCGGTGCCACGTAAATTACACAAGATGAAAGATTATCTTCAAATTCAAAATAATTTCATATATCCCCACATTGACTTTGAAAAAGAATTACTAGAATATATTCTATAATATATATTTCCCATAATATAGATATTTTTACATTTATATTAATATATAACTGTATTCACATCATAATTACTCGTGTCCTATATTATTATAATTTAACAGGTGGTGCATTTTTGTTCGTGTATAACCCTAGATTCAATGATTTTTGCCTCTTTACTTTCCTGTCCTGTAATTTTTTTTCAAACCTTATAAAGACAAAATCTTCCATTAAAGACTTGTTTTCTTTTTTCCGTACAGCACCTAACATAGTTAAAGTTGACTATGTTTTTTACAGTGCATGTGGTGCACCAGAAGTATTATCTAATAAAAAATTATTACATAATCTGTCCTGGTTAATAATTAGTTAAACAAAAATAAATACAACTGACAAATTTATCTATATGTGATTAGTAGGGATCACAAAATCTCAGAACATGTAATAATTTTTCATTTCTAAACATAATAATTCCTATTCCATAACAAGGGCATGATAGGAGGAAGAGAAAATATATATATATATATATATATATATATATATATATATAAATTTGTCTTTTCTCTTTTACATTTTTGCATAAATCTGCATTATCTTTCTCTGTAGATAAAGCAAATAAATTTCTGATCGAGGTAAATTTCATTTAAAAAGAAAAACAACTTGAACTAAATCGTTGTTGTTGTTTTTTTTTTTTTTTTTTTTGGTAAGAATTAACTTTTCAATTATTTTTTCTGCTCTCTTAATTTTTGGTCTATAATTGACATAAAAAATTCCCCGGAAAGGAACCTAAAAAAAGAAAAAAATGGTACTAATGAAACAAGACAAATAGAAAATCCAAGATTGCATCAACAATAAAGTGAAGTCATTTTCTTGAACATCTTATTCACTTCACGCATTTCATAGTTTACTTTATCAAGACCAGACCATAACATCTGGACAGGATCAATAAAAACAATGTAGTCATGGACTTGGGGTGATCTGTACACCCACTTGTCACGAGTTCACAACCTTTAATCAAATTCATAAATAAGGTTAAATTATACTATCATGTTTCGAGTATCTCACATATAGAATTCAGTGGCCAATGAAAACATATATAATATATATATACATATGTGTGTGTGTGTGTAAAGAAGAAGGAAATTATTTTTTCCACCATAAGGAGCAATTTAATTAATTCATTTAAACAAATAGCTCAAACTAATGACATGAATATCATGATTCTTGGTAATTGTACGATTCCACACACTTCAAGAATACAAGTAATTTTGTGTGTATGCATAATTGATTATTTATTTCAAGTTACGTTTTCTTGATATAGAAGTACGATGATATTTTGATAATACGACTTAATCAACAATGGTTACGGATGATAATGAGGGTGGTTTTGAATTATATGTCTTCCATCTTTTTTTTTTATAGGTAAAATATATGTCTTCCACCTTCTTAAAAGAGAGATTGATCGAACCTAAAAAAAAAATTGTAAAAAGAAAAAAGTATAGCTATTCATTGCGAGAGTCAGTTATCTAACCTACCTAGACCGGTCCATGTGAGTAGTTGAGATAATGAACGAATTAATAGAGTTATTCATAAATAAGATTGTACACACAAAGTTCGTATTTGTAAATTAAAGAACGAAATATGGAGCAAATAATAATTTTATTAATTTATAAAAATTGAGTACAATCTTTTGAGGTTTACAAAAGAGAGAAGGTATCCCCTAATTCGATTTCCTTTGTTGGTTGGATCCAAGGACTGTGGAACTTGATCTTGAATTGGGTTGTCGATAATTTTCTTCAAGTATTTGTAATTGAGGAAGACTACCGATGATTTTTGATCAAGGACATACGAAGCTTGATCTCGAAACAAATATATATATAATTCTGTATACATGCTAAGATTTAATTTAGTCTACATTTGTTATTAGTTAGTTAGAAACATGAAACAAATATATATATAAATTGGATGGCTTATATATATAAGGTCACAGCCATCCGACCAGTAGCTCTCTATCTTAAATTATTGCTCAAATATTTTATATACACACACACAGTCACATATGGTCCACTTGTCCTTGTCAAAGAGGTCAATTTTCAGGCTGTATATATCTTTCCCATTATACCCCCACCAAACCCCATTTATAAGAACCCCGCAACTATATATATATAGCATGATATTTAAGTTTTGCTTTACCATTGGGAGTAAGAAATTTTATTAGTTATCACATAAGTTCCTTGACTTATTGATTGTTTGTATGAGGGCAATAAAAGTGTCTGATTCATCCAAGTGGGACGATGTACCTATCTCAGCCCTAGCAAGCTGCCAAACTTCATTTATTATTCAAGAATATATGTGTGTGTGACAATGTGTGTATAAATGGACATTATTATTATTATTTGCAATAAGTTAGGGTTAACAGGAAGAATACAACTTTTGGATCCCACATGGAAACCCTAAATGCACTTGTTTGATTCCACGAGTAGTCCCTTGTGTTTGGGAATTAAGAATGGAGTGAGGGTGGTCCACGTATGGAATTGAAATTGGTGGACTTTGAAAAAAAAAAATTAGCTTATTTTCCTTGATTGTTTTTCTTCAATTTCATCAACTCCACTACTAAAGCTCTACTGTAACCGAACACACCCTAAGCCTTTTAAATTCTAGTGGGCAATTTTCATTTTTGGAGTTTGTTCATTTCACTGGATTGTGGCTAATTCTTTTATGTTTTAGTTTAGTTAGTTAATCAATATTAAGTGTTTGAGCCTATCATGGACAATTTATTTTATTATTATTATTATTATTATTATTATTCATCTAGATAGTCCTAGGAGTTTGGTTATCATGATAAGAGCCTTGGCGAAAGAAGACTTTTGCAAAAAGGAGATGACATTTACACTTTATTATATATATATATTTTCTAATTTTACTCTACTTGAATTTTTTAAAATTTTAAATAACAATTTTACTTTTAAAATAAAAAATTATTACATGATCGGTCCAGTTCCGGCCAATCATCATTTGACAACAAAACAAATGTGTCAAATGGTGATCCGCTGTAACCAAATAGTTTGTCCTAGAAATGGAGTGCAATGATATTTTTAGGACAAATTGCACTGTATCCCCCTTGACCCACCAATCTTTTGCGGATTACTCCTGTCCAGAATTAATTTTGCACAAAATTCCCCTTACCTTTTCAACCACGAACAACAGTTTAAATGACTAATGTACCCTTTTAATTATAGGTAGCAACAAATTAAATAGTTGAAGATGCATAAATATGTGCAGGTTTGGACTCTACTTGATTCACAAATTTAGTGAGAGAAAGAAAAGATAATATGAGGAAAAATAAAAATAAAAGAAAAGTAAACGTGATTGGAAGTAAAGGAGAATTTATTATTATTATTAATATTATTATTTTTTAAAAAAATCGTTATCTTTTGGTGAAAACTTTTGGCTCTGTGTGAAAAAGAAAAAATAAAAAAAGGAAGCAATGAGCCAATATTGACATGGACTCGGCCTTTAGCCCAATAAGGCACATTTGCATAGCATTCTATGGGATATGGGTTTTGCTAGGCCCACTTTATGTACATCGGTATTATTCATGGGGTCAACCCAGAAAGTTTAGCCTTCTCTCATGAACCTTTAGAATGGCCATAACACATAATAAGGGAATGTTTTATAAATATGGAAATGTTTTACAAACAACATTTCAAGGAGAACACAAATGGGCAATTCAATGGTATAACTAGGGGTGATAATTTATGTCAGCGGGTCATAATCGTGTCGAGCCATTTTAAGGGTAATTTACTAAGTAGCTCAACCTGAATACACAATCCGTTTAATAATCGTGTCAGGAATCTTCAACACTAACCTAACCTGTTTAATGATCTATTTACTAAAATGAAACATTATATTATTTAAATTATTAATAATACTCAATTAAATAATAAATGTTATAAAAATATAAGTTTTAGTCAAACCAAATTACAAAAAAATTTCTAATTTACAAAAGAGTAAATTATATGACACAAGTTTAGATAGTTATTTTGGAACTTAAATAAAAATATGTTTATAACACGTATAGTTAAACGTGTATAAACGGGTTACACGAATTGAACCCTTACACTGACAGATTCAAGGGGGGCTTGGGTGTGCTCAAGCCCACCAATTTTTTTTTTTTTTACTATACCTAATTTTAGCACAGCCCAAATATATATATATATATATATATATATATATTTTACTAGTATTAGCCCATCCAAAAAAATATTAGCTCACCCCATTGACAATTCCTAGATTCATCTTTGAACCCTTTAATTCAAACACGACGCGATTAACTAAACTGGTTAATTGTGTCAACTAGTTTACTACCCGAACCCATTTTAGGTCAACTCAAATTCATTTAGCTCGTGTTGTATTCGTGTTGTGTTAGCGAGTTGTGTCAAACTTTGCCATCCCTAAATATAACCCCTCCTTTCTCAAATAGGTGAC